CAGCCCCAGAGCTAGGATGTGATAAGCAGTGAGGCAGGTTTCGTTACTCATGAGTTAATGAAATAGCTTTTTAAGAGCTCTCTACGGTCATTAGGATTTGACGATGGAGAGTTAAACTTTCCCCAGTGGCTCTTTCTGTGTAATCATGGTTTCAACGTTTCCCGAACAGATCATATTACACAAATCATGGAATGCTCTTGTTTGACATTTTTTATTGCGTTTGTCTCACTTCTAAGCAATTTCTTCCCTGGTCCCATTTATCTTCTATTATTTCTGCCAAATTGCTTTCAAGGCTACTAATTGTGTGAATAATACTCTCTTCCTCACAGTCTGCTATTAACTAGCATTAGCTGTGTGGCATTGGACACATTTTCCTACCTCTAAAAACCAGGAGATGACACCACATCATCTACCAGGCCCCTTCTTGAGCTCAGCTTCTACTCTTCTGACTTTTCACATGAGCTGTGCGATTCTGGAAACACTCCATAAACTGAGCCTCTGTTTTCTTGACTCTACGGTGATGGATTCAGTTAGCTCATGTTTCCCAAAGTGTGTTGAAAGTGTTTTAAGGGAATACTGATATGGGTCACACCTAAAAAGCATTCTTTGCACAAGAAAGTTCAGAAAAGCTAGATTTACAAAGTCAAGGATAGTTAGACCTGCAGGCACTTAGAGCCTTGACTGTATTAATGGACACTGGGTAGTTCAAAGAAAAAGGCAGAATATGAAGTACTTCCCAAACTTTTTGGATAACACTCTTTCTCCACAGCATTTTGCATAAATGATCTTCTAGGGATACACTTTTAGAAAGACTGGGTTAAATTGTTTTCAGAGCCCCTCTGTAGGGTAAGTAAAAGTATCAGGCTTTTCTGCCCTCCTGCCATTAAGATTGACGATGGATCCGTGCGGTCCTGAATGCATGCCTGATGGCGGGCACCTGGAGTAGGGTGTGGGCATATATAAGTGGGTGCACCTGGGCTAAGACTGGGCTTATAAGGGCGGCGTCACGGGGATGCCAGCAGAACAGAACGAACAGAACAGCAGAGCGAAAGGAGCAGAGAAGCAGAGGCCACGAGAGAACACCAGAGAGCCCAGAAAGACTGAGGACTCTCGGGGGGCTGGGAGGCTGGTAGGCCTCCCAGCCCCCCGGCACCCCTGCCTGCTTGGTGCCTGGTAAATCCCAATAAAAGCCTGCAAAAGCCACTGAGGGCTCCAGGACTCCTCCTTTTGCCCGTCTGCTCAAATTGTAGAAATTCTGCACTGTCCCTTCCTGCCCCTACACCCTCTTTGCTCTGAGAGTCTATTTTCATGTGTTTTTGTTACAGGCTGTGATCCAAGAGCAGGTCCTTTGCCCTCAAGGCAGAGAATTCACCAGAGAGCACCAAGAGTAGGTGACCAAGACAAGGCTTTATCAGAGACTCATGCATGCGGGAACCAGGGCCAGAAAGGAGAATTTAGCCTGGCTCCTTGAGGGAAATTAGGAGGCAATATTTAAAGGGTAGATTCATGAGTCAGGATGAATGAGGGCAGCATTGTAGCCTGTTCTCGGTTGGTGTAGGGTAAGTGAAAATGATCAGGATTTTCCACCCTCCCGCCATTAGCATTAATGATAGACCCCTGGGTCCTACATGCATGCCTGAAGGCTGGCACCTGGAGTAGGGTGTGGGCATGCATAGGTGGCCACACCTGGGCTGAGGCTGGGCTTATAAGGGTGGCATCACGGCGATGCCAGCAGAGTAGCAGAAAGAACCACAGAAGCGGAGACCAGGAGAGAACGCCAGAGAACCCAGAAAGAGTAAAGACTCACCTGCTGCCCTTCCCTTACACCCCACCCCTCTCCCCCCACCCCGCTATGACCTGGGGGCCATATTACCAAAAAGGTAAAAAGCTCAATAAAAGCCTGAAAAGCCACAGAGGGCTCCAGGGCTTTCCTTTACCCATTCGCCTAGATGATGGAGGACTTGCTCTGTGCCTTGCTGGCTCTACAGTTGGGTTATGCCCAGGTATGTGCAAACAACTGCACTTCTGTGCGCTCAAACTTCTCCCTCCAGAAAATTGTTGAGATGATCATTAGTCAAGATGTAACCGCTTGCCTAGTATGGTGCCTTGGTCAGTGTGGTGGGCCAAAGTGATTTATTCTACCTGTTCAAACAGGACTTGGGGAACTTAGTCTACTGGCTTGCGATTTCTTTTATCTAAACTGTCTTCTTTTCAGTCACCCAGGACTAGTCAAGAAGACAGAGAGCTGGTTTACCAGTTACTGTTATTGTCTTGGTTGTAACATAGCCCATACTCTGTTTAGATGGACTTGAAGTAAGGTGGAGATGGCAATCTTCCCGCTAAAAGTAACTTGTCTCCATGTAACTGGCACATATACCTGGGGTTTCAAAACAGTTCACAATTAAAAGCACTTACTGAAAAATTGCGAGTTCTAAAGATTAGAAGATGCCTTCTAACTTTTGCTGAGGTGGGAAAAGAAAACCAAAGTAAGAATTCAGCATGGTAAAAATAACCTTTGGGGTTATTCCCCATGTAACATGGGCTAGTTTTCCCAAGTTAGAGCTTCCTCTTCCATGTCAATGATATCTTCAAACTCATTTAATTCAACACTTACCCAGACCCTTCTCGGTGACAATCTTATCAGAACCTCTGTCTGATTAATCTCAACAACAGGGTACTCACTACAGGCCCTCCCCACATCCCATCCAAAAGTAGAGCATTCCTCTGAAGTTGAAATGCCGTAAAATGAAGAAGCAATTACCATAATATACATGGAAATATTTCTGAGCATTCCCAGACCCAAAAAGCCCCCTATGAAATCACACCAAATAACACCTAAAAATAGCCCTAACATATAGTAAAAGCAGGAATGATATGATAAATATGCAACCTGTAAAAAGGAGAAATAATGTTCATTGTAGTTGCACTCACCAGAATCAAGAAGACAGCAAGCCCGTGGAAGGCAGAGAGGTGCTGATGGAGGTGTGTTCGGCTGAGCAGTCAGAGTCTGGGGTGGTGGGAGGAACAGGCTGCTGGGGTGCACAGCAGGGTGAGGATGACCGTCCTTGTTAACAGCCCATCCACTCTGAATTCCCCAGGGCATGCAGAGCACTACACCTTTTACCTCTGCCTGCCTCCCTGCAAAGGTCAAGGTTCATCATCTGCAGGGGCCACTGTGCTGGACACAGAAGGTTTGGCTTCTTAGCCTCACACATTTGCCTATCATACAGTTCTTGGTAGGTGCACAAAACACCCTGTCAACACGCCCGAAACCTATATGCCTTTCAAAATTAAAGTCTTGCTTTCCCGCAATCCCTGCAGCCGGTGGATGGTAGGTGAAGTCTCACGCCAGTGCCTCCTGGTCAGTTCCTGAACAACCTCACTTTAAGGCCGGTTGGCGTTTGTGTTCAATTTCCTCTATGTCCAGTGTTACACGCTTACGAGCTTTCTGGAGCTTCTGTTTTTCTCAGGGCACACCTTGCTAACGGGACACAAAATAAACGGAGTGTAGCAATAGAAGAACACGGGGCAGGATCTCTATGATCTGAGCAGACGGGGTAAGGAGAGAGTCCTGGAGCCCTCGGTGGCTTTTCAGGCTTTTATTGGGATTTACCAGGTACACGGCAGGCAGAGGTGCTGGGGCGCCGGGAGGCTGGCAGGCCTCTACCTGGGCTCTGGGGCCTTCTCTGGTGGCCTTGTTCTCTGCTCCTCTTGTGGTTCTCCTGGCGTCCCCATGACGCCACCCTTACAAGCCCAGTCTCTCAGCACAGGTGTAGCCACTTACGCATGCCCACACCCTACTCCAGGTGCCCGCCATCAGGCATGCATTCAGGACCGCAGGGATCCATCCTCAATCCTAATGGCTGGAGGCCAGAAAAGCCTGATACTTTTTCACTTACCCCACACAGAGATAAAGCTCAGAGACTCACAGACAGTTCCCAGCATTGGCGCTTGATGCTGAGAGGCTGAAAGTGTCCTCCCGGGGAAGGATAGGCCTTGGCGACCCCACCCTCCCTGCGCAGGCGCAGCCTGCCAGACCACCCACCCCACCCAACCCCACCCCTTTCACCCCCATGCTGTAAACCTACCCTGAACTCCCAAATGACTTTCCGCTTTTGTCGTAAAATTAAACTCCACGCAGGTGACTTCCAACGGTGAATACACGTGCTCACGTAGGTCTTTCATCAAAGCAAAGTGGCTGATGCAGCCTGTGGAAAAGTTGAGAACACCTCTACTTCCTAAGGCAGACTATGCGATTTTAGGCCTGCTGGCTCTTATGAGCAGAGCCTTTTCTGTATATTAGACAAAAATGGGAGGCTGAAAATTCTTATCCAAGTGACCTTGCATCTAGCCAGAGGATTTTTCAAGGTACTGCTTATGGCCACACTTAAGATGTTTCTAAAACGTGTCGAGTTGAATCGTAAATAAATTAATAAACATCACATATTATTAAAAAAAAGGATTATAAACTCCATCATAGTGGACTCACGGAGACTTAGCTTCCCTGAGACACTTCCCCATGACAGTAAAGTGTGAAGGCAGAAGGTACCCACATGTTTCAGATTCAAAAGCCAAAATCCTTTTCTGAATAATATATTGCTTCTCTAGTATGTCTGTGTATATTAAGATGGGGAGGAAAATATAGAGAATCTGAAACCTATAGTGAAAATTGGAAAATGGTGAAAATAATTTTATTCCAGCCAGGTTAATTTACCCTTGGGCATCTTGCTATTGCTCTGAACTTTAGTTTTCCTTTCTTCAAAATAAGGATTCCTGAATTTTCTCCAAGCTCTATTCCAGTTCTGGAATTGTTTGTGATTATAAGGAAGTGTTCATTAATGAATGGCATTTACTATTGAGAATTTAAGTAAATAATAAAAATACCTGCATCCCTTAGAAAGATTGAATGAAAGTTAGCATAGCGTGCATCATAAAGACAAAAACAGTTTAGGATCACATGCTTGACTTTTATTTTCTTTAATTTTTTTTTTCTATACTAGTTACATTCAGACCAGGATAGAGGAGATGGATCACTTAAATATATCCTTTCAGGAGATGGAGCAGGAGATCTCTTCATTATCAATGAAAACACAGGGGACATACAGGCCACCAAGAGGCTGGACAGGGAAGAAAAGCCCGTTTATATCCTTCGAGCTCAAGCTATAAACAGAAGGACAGGGAGACCCGTGGAGCCTGAGTCGGAATTCATCATCAAGATTCATGACATCAACGACAATGAGCCAATATTCACGAAGGAGGTTTACACAGCCACGGTTCCCGAAATGTCTGAAGTGGGTGAGTGAGATGTGGTTTCATCACAGTTTCTCTTCTACCGCATCAACTAAAATATCCTATGACTGATATATACTGAACTGAATGGATTTAGATGCAAAATTCCAAAAGTATCACGTTTCAAACAACCCATTTATGACCTTTTGGGAAGTGCACCCACATCTCCTAATGCTACTCAAGTCTTATTATTTTTAAGAAAGTAGCATTTCCTCTATTGATGAAGATATGAAAAGTGGCAAGGGAGAGTAGGAAAGAGAAAAGAGAACACCACAGCTACTTCTTCTCCCACTAACTCCCACTCTATTTCTGGAACTGAACAATAGCAGTCTTCCATATTTCTCTAAGTCTACATGGGTATTGGGGTACAGGAAAGGATCTCCCAATGGACTGAATTTACAGTCCAGACTCCTGAGTAGTGACAGTCGATTTAAATAACTATGTATTTGGGAAAGAGACTTCAAAAAAACTTTCTGTTTAATTCACAAAAAAATATGTAGATGATAGCCTGGGGAAAAGTCCTGTACTAACTGGTAGAAATTAAGGCACTTTCATAACATTAAGATGGCAAATTATATTTTGTGCACAATTCTCCTCTCAATTTTAAAGGTAATGTGTGTGCATTTAATTTGTTTAGATTGAGAGAAGGTAAATAGAATTTCAATTAAGAAAACAACTCCTACTGTCATCACTCTTAGCCACATTAAAAGGCATCAGTGACAAATTTGAAACTATGTCAAGGGTTATTTTTATTTTCAGTCTGTCAAATTTTAAAAGGGTTAAGTTACATAATATAACACATTTCTGTAATTCTGTCAGTCAAATTTCAGTTCACAGTACTAAGACTTGGAAAATACTTAATCCATAGAAATAACTGTGAAACATCTAAATTTTTCATATTGGTAAGTTGCTCGTGTCATTACTCGAAGATACTTTGTTTTGTTAGAAAAAAATCACAAGCCATCACCAAAGCGAAGAGAATGGCTGAAATTCTTTTATTTATTTTTTTTAGAACAACACTTTTTTTTAAGATTTATTTATTTTTATACAAGAGCTGGGGTACAGGCCAGAGGCGTGGAAGGTTGAGAGGATTCACCAGAGACAAAGTGGGGAGCAGAACAGGCAGAAGGACCAAAGTACACCACTGAGGGGAGCAGCGGGCAAGGCAGGAGAGGTCTGCCGTGCCATGTGGCAATCTCCCTGGCCGGCCAGGAATCCAACCCATGCTGCAGAGGCTGCAGACAGCTTCACAGTGCTGTTCTCAACCTGCTGCGCCACTCGGGAGGCCCTGAAATTCTTTCAAAGGGAATTTTTATTAGGAAAAATAAATTTTCCCCAGGTGGTAAAAGGCAGGAAGAATTAATGAAGAATTCTCTGTCATCAACAACACCCAGGGCAGTAGTAGCCAGATGTGCAAACTATCACTGCATAACTACAGGAGGTGTCATTCACTTTTGAAGCCATTATAGAATTAAATTTGTATTACAAGTATGTGGGGTAGCTGGCAGTAACATGACTTGAGGAAGAGAAGTCCTTTTCTAACTTGCACACAGACACAGTCATATTCAAATGTATCATTATCAAATATTAACATGTCACTATTATTTTATCTAAAGACATCTTAAATTACATAAAAGTGTGGGACAATGGTAAGGTATTACAAATGGTGGTAGAAATGACAGTTGTTTTCAGTAACTATATATTTAGGAAAGAGACTCAAAGAAACCTTTTTTAAAATTCATAAACAATATACAGATGATATCTAAGGGACACTTTAGTGATTGGTAGACATAAGATTAATATGGTAAATCAATAGATTGTGTACAATTCTACTACTAATTGTAAAGGTAATGTATGTATCGAAAAGACTCAAGTTTGAAACTATCTCTATTAAAAAGCAGACTTGGTGTCTCTGATCCTCTAGTTCCATATCTGTAAAAAATAAGTTATAGATGCAATGCCTAAGGGTTCACATGAGGACAGGATGAGAAAACAGATGCAGAGCCCTTAATACAATATCTGGCACCTAATAGATACTCAAAGCATTCAGATAATCACATTTTAAAAACATTCAAATGTCATATTGATGTCAAATAAGAATGTGGGTGTTTGTTGACTTCCACTCGTTTTCACTTCAAAAAAGATAAACACATGCAATTTGCAGCAACATGGATGGCGCTGGAAGGGATCATGCTCAGCGAAATAAGCCAGAAAGAAAAAGAAAAATACCGGATGGTCTCACTCATAGCAGGAATCTAGAAAACTTAAATAAAGGACCAGGAAAATGAATAACTATAAGAAAGTGAAAATCAAAATCAACAAAAAACTATGAACCAGAGACACTTTTTTGGGGGGTGGGGGGCGGGAGGGGAGGGATTGGGGTCAGAATGGGGGGTTGCAATTGTATGGGGAATATAAAAATAAAATTTATTATTTAAAAAAAAATAAAAATAAAATCATAGGATGCTCTCATTCTCCCCAGCTCCCTTGACAGATTACAAGGTTGGGTGCTTTGTCTCAACACGCTACATCCAGAGCATCCAATTCTAACACAATGCAATATATTTGTTCAATAAATGGAATTAGATAATACAAAATAAGGTAAAAATTCTAATATTCTGTAAATGTAACTTCCCTGCCTTTTTCATGGGCAGAATGCTAGAGTATGCTTATTACTCATCTGATATGAATATCAAATCAGTCATAAAATGATCTTAATTAGAGGGTCTCACTTTTTGGAAGTCAAAGACCCCTTGAGAATCAGATAAAATCAATGGAACCTCTCTTCGGGTAAGCATACATATAGGAATGTTCATAAAAATTTGCATGGAATATCATAAGTTTGAGTTACTCTGAAGGTTATTAAATGACTGAAACCTATAGTAAGAATGCTGATCTAAAATACCATAGTCTTTTTTGTGCTTTTAATTACAATCATTGTTTGGAATTATAGATTCCAGATGTGTATTCTGGAATTAACTCTTTAATCCAAAACTACCTTGTTTAAGATTCCAGGCCTTTCAACCTCTTATAATTATCAGATAGATTTATTGTTTAGAATGTTTTTATTTGCAAGTAACGGAAAAGCCAATTCAAAACAGTTCAAACAATAAAAGCATTTAGCAGTCACATAAGAGGTCTTTGGACATGGTTTGATTTGGGTTCAGCTATTCCTCTGTAATTTTCTATCCTGTTCAGTTTTGCCCTCAGGCTAACATCTCCACAGTCACAAAATAGCTCCCACATTTGCAGGTTCCATATGAGCTCATTACAGACCAGGAGAAGGAGCTTCTCATGTTCAGAATTCCCAACAAATTCATGAGTGGCCCCTGACTGGACAACCCCTGTGGACAAAGTGATGCAAGATGCTGACTGACTTGGGCCTGGAGAGCATGAAGAAATCATCACAGCAAGAATAGAATCCAATCAAATCTCATCTTTGGTGATGGGTTGAAATCAGTTCCACCCAAAGTCATAATCACTCCCAGCTTCTCTTTGACCCAAACCTTCCACTGTTTGTAAATGCTTGTCACAGTCCAAGGCCGTTTGGATTCCCAGAATCCTACTCAAGTTCTCTGCTCCCTTGCCATGATAGTGTCCTACAAAAGTAAGACTCTGCTTTTGCTTTAGGTGTGTGTATCAATGATGCATGACAAACCCTTAATTTTATTTTCAATTTATGTTTCTGTCTTTGCAGGCACATTTGTTGTCCAAGTCACTGCCACTGATGCCGACGATCCCACATATGGGAACAGCGCTAAAGTCGTCTACAGCATCCTACAGGGGCAGCCCTACTTTTCAGTTGAATCAGAAACAGGTTAGGATTCCTTTGTGAGCTTCCTTTTTACAGTCTATAATTTTAATCTCAGATGATTTAGCATTTTTTTAATAAAAATAACAGCATGATGGAATTTTTAGATTAATCTACCAAACACCAGTGATACATTCGTAAGCATGACATCCAGACCATTCAAGAAACCTGACAATGAATCTTTTAGCCATCGTGTTTGTATAGGATAGATTAAGAAAAACTGTACATTGTCTTATTTAATCACTTCCAGTTTGGGATGAAGTTAAATGACTATTTCTGGGAGACAGTAGGATTGTTTATGGGCTACTCTGACATCTTTTCCAGTTATTTAGTAGAATGACCTCTCTCAACACTGCTCTGAATGTAGATATAGTTACATGACTTTTTTTGGGCTAACAAAATATGGTGTGATGCTAATCACTTCTAAGCAGAACTTCCAGGCATGCTGCATGATCCCACCGAGTTCTATTCCTCTTACCACAGAGATCATGGATGCAAACCAAAGTTGAGATGAGTCTCCAGCCTGGATGTCTAAGTCAAGCAGAACTTCCTGCTGACTTGCTCAGCATATGAAGTATAAATAAACTTTAGTTGCGTTAAGCCACTGAGATTTGCATTGTTTTTTATGTCTAGCCTGTCCTAACTGATACAGCCCTACTGGGATACTGCCTTACTGGGATCCTTTTTTTCCACATCTCATTCTTCTGTACTTTCTCTAAAAACTCACATAATGCAGAATTATAATGAAATGTTTCTTATAAAACATTATTTGGACTGTATAGTAAGCTGTACACATATTCTTGCTATCATAATAAGAGTTGAGTTCCTTTCATATAATTTTCAAGGATCCAATTATTGTTGGTAGAAATCAAGACCTTTCTAGGTGGCTATATAATTTTCAAGTATCCCATTATTGTTGGTAGAAATCAAGACCTTTCTAGGTGGCTATATCCAGTTGGAAATCGATGGGTTAAGGAGCAATGAACTTGGAAAGAATCCCAAGGAGAAAGAAAATGTTGAGTTGAAAACAATTGAGGATAAGAAATTAGAATTATCCAACTTAAAGACAAAAGGCTAAGGTGATCTCCTGTATTTAAATAAAGAAGTGCTATTTGGAGAACAGAAAGCAGCTGCACTTTCACTGAAGTCAGGACTATAGGAATGAAATTGACCTGTTGTCTGAGGTATTCTTGTTAAAAATAAAAAAAGATATTTTCAGCTTCATTAGCTGTTAAGCACTGGAATGTGCTACCAGAGAAAGCTATAAAGCCTCCTCCAGTGAATTCTGAGAAAATGTTGTTAATTTAAGCATAAACCCTACATGGAGATTAAGTAAACTTTTAGAAGTTCTTTTAACTAATTATTTTATAACTACCTAACAGGAGAGATAATAACATCGGTCACTGTTGGGACCAGTTGAACGGATGTTAACATTAGCTATAGAAAACTTAAATTCTCTAGGATCATACAAGATGATAATTATGAGACAACTGATGCTCAGTGTTCTTAAGATCATAGTTTTGTGGTTTAGTAAATCCTCAGACTATTCATTATGGTGGCTATATTTGATGAGCAATTCCCAATTCAGTAAAGTGATGCTCAAGAGCCAGTTCAAGTGTATGACTTTCTTAGCAATTTCCTCACAGTCCATTAAATGTCTTTTCTCAAGCAGCTACCGTATTGTATATAACGTTATACCACATACCAAATTACATTTTGCTGTGTCATCCTGTAACACTATTTACATTACTTACAGTCTATAGTACTGTAGGATTTGACTTGTCCTTATTTTTTATTCTCCTTGTATTGTAGGTGCTTTATTTAAATGTACCTACCTTATGTGGTTGTAATTTCCTTATGTAGAATGGCTATATTTATTCATCCCTCTGACATCTGCATAGTGTTTTGTATATTGTGCGTGACAGTCTATGTTTGTTTGCATAAACAAGTGGATCCATAAGGCATTTTTCATACATCCCCTTCCCACTTCTGAATTTCTTATTGTAGGAATCATCAAGACAGCTTTACTCAATATGGATCGAGAAAACAGGGAGCAGTACCAAGTGGTGATTCAAGCCAAAGACATGGGCGGCCAGATGGGGGGATTATCTGGGACCACCACGGTGAACATCACGCTGACTGACGTCAACGACAATCCACCTCGCTTCCCCCAGAGTAGGAATATTTAATTAAATGAGATTCTTTTTTAGTGCACTTTATAAATCTCTAACTGTAAGAATAATGTTTTCGTGAGTGTTAAGATTATCAAAATTATTGAACTTGGTAAGAACCAGCATTTCATTAAAAATAAGATGACAATGCTTGCAGGCCGTGAATGTGAACATTGATGGTCCTGAGTTGGTAATTAGCTGAGCGATTTTTGATGTGGCTGTTATTAAGGCACGGCCATTGTTTTCTTTTTCCTTATTAAGGTCTACCACAGACATAAATTTGCTTGTGCAGGACACATGTATAACAAGCATGCTGCTATTTGTTAGGGAAATGTGACTTTATGTTTTGTGAATTTAATCAAGCATATAATCTCTTTAAATCCTCACAAAGCTTTGTAAGGGGAGGATTTATCCTTTTACTGTTTCTAAAAATATGACTATGGAAATAACTATGTATTTAATCCATTTGTAATCATAAGTAGTTTTTACATTATGGTTAATTAAGATATCGAAAGTCATCCCTCAAATCATTAACTCTCTTGATCAGATAGGAGGGGAAAAGGAAAAACAACATTCTCAAAAGCATATTTTGTGTCAAGCTAGACCCTTTCACAGAGAATACCTCAGGTGGATACTGGGTTCTGATGCAATATTTCTTCAAGAAATAAAATTCCTTTCTTGCCATAATCTCCTAAAAAAATATTTCCTCAATTCTGTCTTCCAGGAGAAAATAGCTGTCCATCATTAATAAGAAAACTATTCATCAAATATTTTTCAAAAACTGGTTAACTAATATAGGCATCTATTATATACACAGTGCAACAGAAAATAGGAATTTTTCCTTCATTTTTTCAAATATTTAATCACAGCTTAATGCAAAAACAGAAGAGCTAACTGATTTCTGATTCTATGTGTACAATGAAGGTGTTATAGGTGCTAAAATTTCTCCCACAGAAGACTGAGATGAAAATACCAGGATCACTAACGCAATGCCCAAAAACCTCCTGTCAGAATGGGAATGCCCTGAGGAAGGACAGCAAAAGGTTTCCCTAGGACCTTGCTACCAAGGGGACTTTACCTATGCTCTCCTTGGCTAGCCTGTGATCATTCCTTGGTGATGTACCAAGGTGAGGGAGGAAGAATGGCTCTAGAGAAAACCTTGCCTGCTACATCATTTTACCAAGGAAGCGCCCAAGACCTAGCGGATTACTATTACTGAACCACTGTACTTTAATGGTGTCAGAGAGTCTGCAGAACAACTGCATGGCTAGTTAGCAAAATATATTGGATGAGAGTAGAATAAGTTGGTCTGGTACATCTAAATTGAAACTCACATGTAGTCTTCTTAAATCAACTTTGGAACATGAACACAAGAAAAGTATATATGTAGGAAATATATTCATGAGTAATACAACTACAAGAAGAGGAGGAAATTATGCACAGAAAAAATACTGTAAAAAAATTAAAAGAAAAGAAAAAGAAAAGCTTTATCTCTCAATGAATTCACTTATACCCCTACCTGAAACTAGACCATGTATGAGAGAAAAATATCTACCTGAAAACAGTCTCAAAATTTCTGTAATTTGTTTTCACCTTCAGTTATTATTAGCAATGACAGAAAAAACTCTTTTTAAGATACCTAGTAATTGACTTAAAGTCACAGTTCAGGTTCAGTTCTTCTCCTTTCTTTGTTAGATTACAGGAAGCTTTGAAACCTCCCGTATCCTCCTGCTCAGTCTTTCTCACAGTCACACCATAAATGTTGAAGCCTATTTACAGGCCAAGAAGAGTGTTCTCCATTTGCAAAGAGACAGGTCATGAAATAAAGAAACATTCTTAACAATCATGAAAGTAAAGACTTAAGGAGACTAGGGCACCATTCGTTATTTTAAGCAAAGCACAAATCTGCCTATATGCATGGCAATGACTCAAAGAACTGGTAGAAAATGGGTTCTGTTTTTATTGTGATGGAGTCTACTTAGAGTGGGATTTATCTCTGTCTGATGATTAATAGGTACCTACCAATTCAAAACCCCTGAATCTTCTCCACCGGGCACACCCATTGGCAGGATCAAAGCCAGCGATGCAGATGTGGGGGAAAATGCTGAAATTGAGTATAGCATCACCGAGGGAGAGGGGCTGGACATGTTTGATGTCATCACCGACCAGGAAACCCAGGAAGGAATTATAACTGTCAAAAAGGTAATGCCATCTGTGACATGCCACACAAATGAATACATTTACTCTTCTCTGGCTCCCAAGGGACAATTACATCTCCTATGAAATTCCTCTAGATTCTTTTTGTACAAATTATTTTTTTAAACACCGAGCCTAATTACATTGAGATCTCTTTGGCTGGCTTTTAGGGGCCCTAAATAAATCTTATGCATTCATTAATTCTGTATTTTCAGTAAAGGCGTATTGAGAAACTCCAAAGTAAATTAAAATGATAATGCTATACATAAGAGCACATAAAATAAGTAACATAAATGAACAATAAATGCAAACAATGCTAGACACTATTTGATCTGAGGATACAATTGTATATTCAACAGGATGATCTCTGCTTTGATAAACTCCAAATGTGTTTAAGGAGGAAAGAGACAGGAAGTAAATAAATAAATGTACCTAACAACAAATTCTTATACATGTTTTGAAGGGAAAAAATGATGCAAGCAGATGATCTGAACTAAAAAATACAGGAAGACCACGAAAATAAATTCAATAATACAAGTTTGTACAATAATACAAATTTCCTGTGAACGCTTTAGCTACCTTCTGGAATACAATAATAATACCTTCTTGATATTCTGAATTCCTATTTTTCCCCTGTGTGTTTATTCATTATTTACTGCTCCTCTCCCCAAATTACCTAACACCACAGAGCAGTACACAACAGTGTGGCGGAAATTACAAACCAAACACTGTGCTTCAAAGCTAAAAAGAATATCAACTTTGGTGGCATTTTTAAACGATCTCCCTTTTACCATATGTGTTGTAATATCTCCTTTGTCTCTGAGACGCTATTATATTGCTGATAAATATAAACATAAGGGATGTAAGTAACAAGAAATATTTTTTCTCTTGAGTCTTGGATTGCACGTCTTAATCTCTGGAAGCACAATAAAGCATGTTTAAGTGACACTCGGACCAGTGTTTTATATGATAACACAATTAGGAAGCCCATTACTGTGCATTAACCTTCTTAATTTTCTTGGTGCCTTATCAGATTCAAACTGAAATCTGGCCTAGAAGACTAAATCACATTCACTAACATCTTGATTAATTGTGCTTCTAGTGAGTCTTGTCATATTATTGTCCAAAACTAAAAGTCAGCATTGAGCTTTTGGTTTCACTCAGCTCCAGAAGCAGAGATACTTTTCCTAAAAAACTCTAATAAAAATGATCATTACTTTCTTTGGTAAGTCACAAGCCCAGCGCCCTTATTGGATCATATGGAATATTTTATCTCCCTACAAAAAAAGAAATATAATTTTTAAATCTGCTTTATCTGAATGAGGAAGAAGGTACTGTGATGCAAGTTGTGGTTCTCAATTCCCACTGAACAGTGGAATCGCTAGTGGGTTAAGGGAAGATCTTTAAAAGCACAGATTTCTACCCCCACCCCAGATATTTTGGCTTAATGGCCCAAGGGTGGGGGCTGGATATAGGCAAATTTTGTTAGTGCTCAATTAAAACCAGATGTGACAAAAACTAGTAGAGAATAATTGACTCCATATTTGCCAACTTGCCCCTGGCATAGTCCCCTCTGGTCAAATAAAAGGATTTATTGTTAAGGGGTCCATAAGAGATCCCAACTTCCAGGTTCCCCTTCCTACCCATTCAACCTTAGAATCCACTCCCACTTTCAAAGCAACAGCAGGCTTGGTTTCAGCCCAAACTTTCAAGATCGTGCACCATCTGAACTCCATGCGCCTGACATCACACTATCAGCAATACGATCACATTCACTCACGGGGATTTACACAAAAAATGGTTCATATCGTGGCTCTCTATGCTTTAGCTGCTTTAAATTCATTGCTCTTTCCCCTTCCTTTAAGCTCTTAGATTTTGAAAAGAAGAAAGTATACACCCTCAAAGTAGAAGCCTCCAATCCTCACATTGAACCCCGCTTTCTCTACCTGGGGCCATTCAAAGATTCTGCCACAGTGAGAATCATGGTGGAAGATGTAGATGAGCCCCCCATCTTCAGCAAACTGGCCTACGTCCTACAAATAAGAGAAGACGCTCAAATAAACACAACCATAGGCTCTGTCACAGCCCAAGATCCAGACGCCGCCAGGAATCCTGTCAAGTAAGCACACTCTGCCACATGTTTCTTTCATAACTTTCAGTCAATTTATATTCAGATATCTGCCTGCCAGTTAGAAAAGATGAATCCTTTACCCCCCCATTACAGAGTTGTGTTTTCTTTAAAAATTACTCTAAATAGCACATTTACTCCCCTTGCTCAACATCAATATTAGTTTGGCAACAACATAAACCTAAAAAATACAAAATTGGGGAAAAAACATAAAATGAGCTCTAAGGAATTTACTGCTTACATAGAAATAGCATAAGGTAATGCAACTGAGTGGCCTGGGATTTTTTTTTTTTTTTTCAGTTGTAGATTTGTCAGAGTGGTATGGAGAAAGCATTGTGAGTTTTAACAAGGCACTGGGCTTTGACAGCCTATTTTTCAAGGGTTAAAGAACCTATCATGTAACACATAGAGACAAAAGTATTCCATCTGGAGACATAATTTTTTTCTTTTGCAAATCTGGATAAAAACAGTTATGATCAATCGATCAATAGATAGGTAGGTAGGTAGGTAGGTAGGTAGGTAGGTAGGTAGGTAGATAGATAGATAGATAGATAGATAGATAGATAGATAGATAGATCTGTGTAATCCTGGAAAAATTTGTGGACTAGAATCCAATTTATACTATGTAAGCAAGCTCTATTTTCCCTGTACTTTCCTTACACCTTAGTTATAAATTAGGTTGCAAGAAAGCCTTATTGCTTTTTGGGACCATGGATACTTCAGTATTTTAGAATTATCAAGAAAGCACTAGATTTAACCAATATCCAGGTTTTACCCATAGCTTAGTCAACTAGAGGAGAAAAGTGCTAAGCCAGAGAATATCATTGTGTAAATTTATTCAATGGAAAGAAAGTTAGCAGATTGAGAAGCCAGAGAAACTCTTGCCACAAATATATTATCCAGTAATATATTGTGATGAGGGCACTTGCCATGTGCCAAGAATGTTTTAGGTGTTAGAGCTGCAACACCAAGTCCTGATCTCAGGAGTTTACATTCTAATTGGGGAAGAGAGAGACAAGCAGAAAATAAATATATAATATGTCAGGTGAAAATAAGCTGTAAGCAGTAAAACAAGGGAGTATGGAAGCAGAGTATGGAAAGTACCCTTTATCTGAATTTTAGATAATGTAGTCAGTGGCTTTAGTTGTTAGGAAACCATTTTAGTAAAGATTCAAATGAAACAAAGGGATGAATGATGCTGATACCTGGGAAAACATTCTAAGAGGTGGGCACAGTGAGGGTAAGATCTGATGCCAGAGTTTTGCTTGGGTTGTGGAAGAAGTAGCAGGGAGAGCAAGGGAGTAGGCAACAGGGCAGTTTGGTGAGAGGCAGGTTCAGGTGCTGGTAAAGACTGGGTATTATTCTGATTGAAGTAAGAAACCACTGGAGAGCTGAAGTAGAATCATTACCTAATCCAAAACCACTTTTCAAAAGGATCACAAAGGTTGTGCATGAAGATTATTGCAGATATAAGAACTTGCGCTTCCAAGGCAGTTAGTTGTTAACTAACATCTATTGAGCCCTTTGTTCAAATGAAACCCGGTGGCAAGTCCCACTTCTAAAACACAAAAAAAACTGGCTCGCTCAGGAAATATTTTAAATCATCAGGAAAATAGACTGTTGTGTTCTCATCTGCTTAGACTATGTGTAAACACCTTGAGTTGGACTATGGCAAACCAATGTAGGCGCACGTGGGCTGCATGGACCAAGTGTTCCCACATGTGCATTTAATATTATTAAGTAGGAAAATGAATGATGGTCTTGGCTAGTATAGCACAAATAATTTTATTTTTTTTTTTCTTTAAATATTTATTTATTTATTTATACAAGAACCAGGGTACAGTCCAGATGTGCGGGAGGGTGAGAGGATTCACCAGAGACAGAGCAGGGAACAGAACAGGCAGACGGATGAAATAAACTGCTGAAGGGAGCAGTGGGCGACACAGGAGAACTCTGCCTCCCCATGTGGGACCCTCGCTGGTGGCCGGGATGGAACCGGACGCTGCAGAGGCTGCTGACAGCTTCACAGCACTGTGCTAAAGCGCCTGCGCCACCAGGGGAGGCCCAGCACAAATAATTTTAAGTTACATCACAATCTCACTTGGAGTTTGTTCTGAATGTATAAGGAAAATTCTCTTGGCAAGGCAATGACAAGACTAATTTAAATAATAATAAAATTTTTAATTTTTTTAAAAAAGACCAATTTGAAAGTGTTAAGGCTGCAAGTTCACAAATGTGAACTTTAATTACCTCTGTAATGAATCAATATGTTCAATTTTTTAAATGAAACAGATACTGTCTTCTGGGAATTTAGTAGGAATTTTTATATCTATTTTACTTTACATGCCAACTGCCACCTTAACCCATTGCATTATTTTATGTTTTAATAAAGGAAATGGCATGTCAGACTGGATATCAGCTAATTTTGAAGCTTTTTCCTGACAGCCTTCCATCACTACACCCAGATCTCACATCTAGATATAGGCCTAAGGATAGCAATATGCATAGCTATATTCTATGCATATTCCAGGGATTCCTTTTATACAGTAAAATTGACTCTTATATTAGGAAAGTACCTCCATACATAGTTTTTGGTTACTCAAGACACAGATGTTGAACTAGGTAGGAGATAATATGTTAAGTACATAATTAATACTAAAGAATTCTCCCCTCAAACATTGATTTATCATTATGCAGGCACAAATCTTTAATTCTATAATCACATAAATTATTTGCTTCCAATAGCAAATAAATGACCTTTGAATTTCCATAAGAGTCTTACAAAATGTCATTATAAATACTTATTATGAAAAATGTACATGCAAACATGCTTCCTTTCTTGACCCACAAATCTGAAGCTACATTAGAAGACAAATTTTTTTTTTAAGATTTATTTATTTATTTTTACAAGCACTGGGTACAGTCAGAAGCACAGGAGGGTGAGCAAATTCACCAGAGCCAGAGCAGAACAGGCAGAAAGACCGAAGTACACTGCTGAGGGGAGCAGCAGGCGGCGGGAGAGGTCTGCGCGCCATGTGGACCCTCACCCGGAGGCCAGGGATTGAACAGGTGCTGCAGAGGCTGCGGGCAGCCTCACAACCACGCGCTCAACCGCTGCGCCACTGGGGAGGCCCTAGAAGACAAATGATTGAAGCAGAGGATACAATAAAGTTTTAGGGGAAAAGAGCTACCTAGCAGAATGATCTGCTATAATCATAAAGGAATTGATTATCTTTTCCTTATCAGTTATGATTAAAATTAATATGACTAGACGGTAAATATCCTTGATATAAATTGAAAATACATTGGAAATAAAAGCAACAAATAAGACTTTGTGTGCAGGCAACTTTCCAAAACAATGTAATCTCCTACTTCAAAGAAAAATATATATATAAAATTTTGGTATTTTCTAAATATTTATTTTGTCTTCAAAATCAAAAGCTAACTTCAACTAAAATTTCCTCACCCCATGCCTTTATTTCAAGTCTTAATGAGAAGATGTGATTACATATAAATCTTTAAACTACAGCAGGAAAGAGGCAAAAACAAGGAAAGATTGCTGCTGTGTACAAGCTTTTAAAAACAGTAACATGTCTTAAGCTTGACTTTTTCATGAGGGAAAAATATTTTTGTACATAATTATTAAATTTCTCACAAAGCCTGTGAATGTTGATGTTTTTGATAATTAATCACATCTACAAATATTTATCATTCTCAAATTAATAATGAAGAAAGGTGATTAAGCAAGTTTAATGCTGTTGCCTAAGTTATTAATAAATGTGGATTCATACATAAGTAGCAAAAAAGTAGCTATTTCATCTGTCTCAACCTTTTTGATAATGAAACATTAGGTTTATATAAATTGAAACTAAGCTTATAAGCCAACTTGATATATATGTGTGTGTGTGTGTATATACATATATATACATACCTCCTTTATGAACTTAATCAATTCTCTTTAAAATCAGATTTAAATAACCCATAACAATGGGGTATCTATTTTATTTAGATCCCTGCAAGGATAAAAAGATTTTATTAAGATAAAATATACTATTTTTGTAATTCACTAGTTTATTTTTAAATAAAATAATTAACTGAAATAGAATCTCAGACATGCATATTGCAAGTTTATTTTTCAAAGAGTGTTCACAATAATTTCACATATATATGACTAGTTAGGTAGTTTACTTAAATTGTATTTCTAGTCAGTTGAGTAGAAATATATAAATTTTGAGGATGTAGATGAAATGGGCAAATGTTTTATTCCTAATGACCTTAACATATCAAGTTTCTTCTGAGTTCTCTCTTTATTGCTCCCCCATAAAACAGTGTACACATATTTTCCCCTTACATAGCTATTCCAAATTAGTAATAAAGAAAACAACATTTCTCAAAATATTTGTCTTTCAACTTTAGTTTGAAGACTCTAAGTTTCTAAGATGCCATTTGGCTTTCTTTGAATTCTCCAAATTCTCCTTTTCAAATATTTGTCAAGATCCTCCTTTGCTCTAGACTCTGACTATTCAGGCCCCTGCGCATCACCGTTCCCCTTGTAGTCTTCAAGTGATTCTGTCCTTCCTGTTTTTCCCCTTTAGCTGCACATTCTCTTCTCCAACCCTTGAATTGAAAATCTAGATTGTCAGTTCAGATCTTTACCTTGATCTTCACACTAGATACCACTTCCTATACTTCTCACAGATCAATCCTGGAACTTAATAAAGTCTCACAGATCAATCCTGGAACTTAGGATCTTCCCCAAATCCTGTTCTCTCCTCCTTCCCTATCCATTTGCGACTTCACCATCCAGCGAGCTTCCTCAGACATGCATACTGAAAGTTTATTTTTCGAAGAGTGTTCACAAGGATCTTTGTAAACCATAACAACACTGTGACACTACTGAAAATCAGCAGTAGATTCACACCACGCTTAGAATAAACCCTTGCTCCTTACCAGGACCAGCCCACCCTTGGATTTCTCCCCCAACTCATCTCTCTCCCTCTCCTGCCTCACTAACTTCATATATATAGCTAGCCATCTTTTTCATCTTGCAACATAACAATTTAAAAAATAAAATGGATAATAGAAAAATAGTGAGCCCTAATTACATGCACAAGCACACACACATACAAAGTGCTAAGGTTCTAAAAAGTTGAGTTAAAATGTATCAATTACTATATAAATTTGATACAAATTACACTGAAAGAAGAAACTGTTGTTGATACTCAAAGTCATACAATTTGTCTGCTGGGTTTATCATTAAGACCATGGTTGTATAGAGCTATCTTCTCAAACTTATTTTATCTAATATTAAGTTAGAGATATTCAAATATGTGCTACAGGTAGAAAAAAATTCATGTCACAGATATTCAGGAATAGTATCGGGATGGGACAATAGCAGATACAAGGAAACCTTTCTAAATTCTACTCTGCATTTTCAGGTATTCTGTCGATCGACATACAGATATGGACAGAATATTCAACATTGATTCTGGAAATGGTTCCATTTTTACATCAAAACTTCTTGACCGAGAAACCTTGCTGTGGCACAACATTACAGTGATAGCAACAGAGATCAGTAAGTCCAAGTCATGTCACTGAGGTCCCCAACTGGGAGAGGGACCCCAGCAAGGTCTGGTGAAGCATAACTGAAACTCGTCATGTACTGATGGTGCACTGGACACATATTAAGGCAGAAGCCCTGTAATGATTTCCAATAATGTGTCTTCCACACATGTTGGTTATTTACAAATGCAGAGGCATATTCATATATGTGGAAGTTCCACTGCTGGGAAACACTAAAATGGGACTCCATCTCTCAACTGAGGTTGGACTGGCACTTGGATTTGATTGCAAAATGTTTAAAAATCAGAACATTACAAAAGCAGCTGGAGAAGAAAACATTGTTTAGAAATCTTTTATATATTCATCCTCTAGCTTTCTATAGAATTTCTATTTCAAAAGCATTACAGAATGAAGAGAATTTTAATTTTTTACAGAATACGAAACTTTACAGAAAACTTTTTACAAAAAATACCGTAAAAAAAAACTTTAGAAATTTTAACTTTTCCACAGTACATACCACCAAGTAACAAATAAAATATTTTAAATGAATTTTATCGAGTCCCCATGAAATTAAAGGCAAAGAAAAAACAGTGCCATGACAGTACTTGAAATATGACTATATGCAGTGGAAATTGTGTGATATAGGCACAACGTATAAACTTAAGTTCATAAAAATAAAAGGATTTTAAAATAATTTTTAAATGTTCTAAAATTGGCTTCTAAATATACTTCATTTTTAAATTTTTTGGTTTGGTTTTTAGAAGTTTCAACATGTTTAGCTGGGCATCTAATGTGAAATATTGCACATCAAATGATATTTTGCAGTAGCATTCTTTGTTATCATAACTCACAAGGTGTGACGTGGCTGAAAGATATTGAGTAGAATAATCGATAATCAATATTGACAAAAATGAAGCATTGTTTTCTGATAGGAACTCATTACAAATTATAAGGAAGGAATTTACTTTTTGTGTTTATGTGGAATAACTAGTGTGAACACCAATAACAGCATATTTGAAGCTTTTCAAATCACAAAATTATTTCCCACTAAAAAAGGCCACTTTTATAACATGAAATTTTACATTTTACTACAGTAGTCATTTCATATGTGTTAAGCTTTGTGCCTAAAATTTTCTGTTTTGAAGATTTAATGTTTCCGTGATGTGTTTGTGTTAGCCATAATGACCTTTAAAAAAAAAGATCTCCAACAGCGATAACTTCCCAAAAACAATGTGAGCAAAGTCTTAGATGCAAAGGATATTAAGAACCTTATTGTCCAAACTTCTTAATGAACTTTATTGTAACAGAAGCCAAGAATTTATAGAACAGCAACTAACTTCCCCTCCAGGACCTTTGCACTCGCCGATGCCTTTGCCTGGAGAGCCAGAAATATCCGTACAACTCAGTCCTTCTCTCTGCTCATGTCTCTGGGCAAATGTCATTTCATCAGAGAAGCCTTCTCTGGTCACCCATTCAAAGTAGCACCTCCACGCTTTTCCATAAATTACCCTGGTTAATTTCTCCTAGCATCTGACACATCATTGTGTATGGACAGTTTGCTGCCTTCATTAGAATACTACTCCAGGAAGCAAGATCTTTGCTATGTTCCCATGTATCCCTACACCCCAAATAGAGACTGATAATTATTAGATATTAGATGTTCACTGAATATTTATGAAGTGAATGGAAAAACAAACATTTGAGTGAAGTAAATGGAGAGGGCTAAGGGGAGAGATTCCTATCCCTGATTCTTAGACCAGATATTTATCGTCCTTGCTACCTAGGAGAACTTCATAGAAGACAACCAAAATAACTTATTTATCTTCGGTCTTCAAAAGTCGGTTTTGCTGTATCATTGTCCTAGATGAACAGCTGGGCTTTGGAGTCACAGACCCAAGTTTGAATCTAGCTTCCACTCTTCACTATCTCTTCAAACACTGTCAAATTACCTAACTCCTCTCAGTTTTTCCTCATCTAAAAATGAGGACAATAATTTTATCTATCTTAGAAGTTTATAAGGAAGAAGTAAGACAATATATAGCAAAATGCTTAGCACAATGTCTAGTTTTCATTTAGTACTCGGACTAAAAAACTAAGACCAATAACCATCAACCATCACTCCCTGCCCTTTTTCTTTTTCCACATTTTTCCATCTGCCTGCTTCCTTGTCTTCTATTAAAATCTGCTTCCAAAATGCCTTCTCAGGATAGATTTTCTTTATTTTGTGTTACTTTGGGGTTTATTATACAATTGCATTACTTCAACACCAATAGCTTTGTTTCCATCAGGTCTATCAGAGTCCAGAAATACCAAAGAAACTAATTCTACCTTTTCTGACTACATTGGTACATAATGCTCTGTGGTACTCACAGAAGCCTCGGGGTTCTGTTATGAATGAGAAGGAAGGAGTGAGTGACTATCAACTAAAGGGATCAGTGATCAAAACATATAAAAGTCTTCCTTTCCTTTTGGCATTTTGCAGACAATCCAAAGCAAAGCAGCCGGGTACCCCTATATATCAAAGTTCTAGATGTCAATGACAACGCCCCAGAATTTGCTGAATTCTATGAAACGTTTGTCTGCGAAAAGGCCAAAGCAGATCAGGTGAGTTTCATAAGAAAGCAAATTAATTTAGTCAGATTAATTTAGATCTTTTAGTAATTCACATGAGACACAGAGCTGAAGGCTAGTTTTGAATTATCTATGAAGTGAATGCTAACAAAATTAATACAATAAACAAGAACTAGGATGAATGTTTAACTTGGATAAAAGAACAAACACTTTTTAAGAACTGGAAGTTCATCAGTTTCAAAGACAGATGTTAGCTCCAAATCAGTCTTAAGTTTTCATTAAAATAGATTAGTCACAGCTTTATTGAAAAAATCTGTATTGGTGAACAGATCATTCCGATTACCATGTAAACGGGGAAGTAATAACTAGAAACATATTTACAATAGCCCATACTTCATAGTTTCACCTATTTAAATTATCCATCTGTACAAATAATACAAATTCATGAATGCTTTCCTGTTTGACACATTTGTCTCCACCTGAAATAGGTCTTTTCTACCAGTGATATAAAAATTATATTACTGTGTGTCAAAAAAAATGTTTAAGTGGGAAACTGATAGTATGTGTTTTATATACAAATTTTCTTTTTAACTTTTTTGCAAGTTGATGGCATATGTAGATGCCAAGATGGCTTTTCTAAAGAAGCTGACACTCTAGAGTGACTCCATTTTCTTAAGTGGCAATGTTGTCATAAACTATTGTGCTGTTTTGTGTGAGGAACCCTAGGGCAGTGATTCTCAACCCAGGTGACTTTGACCCCAGAGGACATCTGGCAGTGTTGGGGAACATTCTGGATTGTCACAGGAAGCAGGGGACAGCTGATGTCTAGTGGGAAGAGACATCTTACAGTGCACAGAACCACCTCACAACAAAGGATTAGCCCTTCCTCTGTGGTTTTCTAACCCACCAGTTCCTTGCAGAGTAGATTCATTGTCAATTTTCTATAGGCTACCTTTTTTTTTAATAAAAATTAGAAATTATGTAGTAAAGAATTTACTGCAAAACTGTCATAAACATTTTAATTTAACAGAACTTCATGATTTTGATTTTAGCTGATTCAGACCCTACGAGCCGTTGACAAGGACGACCCCTATAGCGGCCACCAATTCTCATTCTCTCTGGCCCCTGAAGCAGCTAGTGGTTCAAACTTTACCATTCAAGACAACAAAGGTAAGTGAGCCCAAGTTCTCTTCTCTGTCTCGACCCTAACATCTGTGTCTATATCATCCCCTTCACAGTGGATCCAACGCGTGATACGGCACTCATGCACACTCACTCTGCTTTCCGGTTCCAGACAATACAGCGGGAATCTTAACTCGGAAAAATGGCTATAACAGGCACGAGATGAGCACCTACCTCCTGCCGGTGGTCATTTCGGACAACGACTACCCAGTCCAAAGCAGCACCGGGACGGTGACCGTCCGGGTATGTGCGTGTGACCACCACGGGAACATGCAGTCCTGCCACGCGGAGGCCCTGGTCCACCCCACCGGACTGAGCACAGGGGCCCTGGTCGCCATCCTCCTGTGCATCGTGACCCTCCTAGGTAAACTGCTTCTCCCTGCATCCTATCTCCCCATGACGAGGGGCACACACTGTCACTGTGACACCCTAGGTTTATCCGCCTCCCCCATTAAGGCAGACAGCCTGATCTAGGTGAGTAGAGTTATATGTCGAGACTCTGTTGTTGGCCATGAACTAGTTTTTGCTTGAAAATGACTTTGGAAAATGAATGGATGTGAAACTTGCCCCATGTCTTTACCTGCTTGGGGATTTATTCCACCCGAAGAATCTCTTGTCTGTTAGACTGGGAATGAAACTCGGGGACATGTGAGAGTAATATAAATAAGCCCTTTTCATTTCATTTGTTGTTTAATAGTTAACCTGGCAAACTCTGTTACATTTTAAAGAGTGGAAGTTGTCCAGCAATGAGCACGTGATGAAGGCCCTTTCTACAAAGGCAAAGCCTTAAAGATCGTGGGAAAGTAGAAAGAGGAATTGATGATTTTTTTTCTCTCACACAGCAAAATTAAAAAGCTATGAAATTTTCTTTAACACAGAACACTTATTATGGTCTACCCATTTAAATTACCACCTGCTTAGCATTGCTCTCTGATTGCCACGGACACACGGTCTATTATTTCTCAGACTCTCAATAATAAATAACTTCCGTGACTAGGAAATCAATCTGGGATCTAAAAGAAATGAATGCAGTAAAAGTAGAAATCGAGGTGTAACAATAATTCAAACGAAGATGTTTATCTCCAACCAATTAGGCGCATGAGTTGAGCTCAGATGCTCAATAAGCCCTCGACTACGACAAACTAAGGCATCAAATGTTAGCTAATGCAGCTCCTCCAAAAATGAAAGTTACAAAGATTTCCTATAAAATAGAGGGGATGGGGGAGAGAAAGAGTTAACCCGGATTTCTGGGGGCAGAGGGTTGTTATTTGACAATAATAACAATATAGTGACTTTGAGAAGAGTAAAGACCTACATTTCTCCAAGAAGAGAATGTCTAGGGATCCCTGCCCAAGGGCTGCACCTTCCAGATCAACTCTGCTAATTATAACAGAAACCTTGAAGCTCAACTATAGAACTGTGATTCTCTTTGTCAACTAAGATTTGGAGAAAGTATTTTAAGATTTGAGGATAAATAAAAACTGACAGTGTGCAAAGACAAATCAGGGTTTCTAACAGTGTGAGTCTGTAAAAATTGTTTTGGAAGAGAAGGATATGAATATTTTTTTTAATCAAAAAGATTATTTTTAGAAGGGCCAGCTCGGCAGGGCACAGCCTGGTAGGATTCCATGAACCCCTCTGTGGTCCGTGGAGGGACGGCCGACGCCCTTCATCCCGCAGAGGTGACTCTTCCTTCCCTCAGCAGCTGCCCGTGTTCTCCTCCTGCTTTTGTTCCTTCTGACCAGCTCCCTTTATTTTCCCTTGCCATGTCCTCCCTCCCAGGGTTCACTGTCTGGACATCACTCCTCGTTTGTCTCAGTGCCTCCCACATCTTGTCTAGTCTCTTCAGAATTCTATACCTAATTAAAAAAAAAGTGGGGGGAGCTTAATCTTTACCTGGCTCATGTCATGGGCTACCCTCAGGGCAAGATGCTTTGCAAATGTCTTGCTCACATAATCCTTAGAACCACCTGCTATGTCTTTATTGCATCTTAAATATGAAAACTGAGACTCCAAGATGTGAAGTCGTGGAGCCGAGTCACATTGCTGACAGGGGACAGAACTAAGTTCCAAACCCAGGTCTTGTCCCCCCCCTTTCATGCACCCCACCCCACCCTGCCTTGGTGCTTCTACACGGCACTCTGCTTCTTCTGTGAACAGACTGAAAGAGCCTGTCCTGAAAATGAGACAACTGAAGACAGTGGAAGCAAATCTGAATGCTTGGAAGAGAAAGGAAGTCACACCACACAGAAGAAATACAGGGATATGGGGGCTCTGGTGGTGGGTGGGCAGGGTGATGCACACCTCAGGAGATGAGCTCATTCCCCTGGGTCCTACACAGTGCTGGAAACAAACCATTGTTGCTTCAAATTTTAAAAAATCAATTAATACAAAGGAACTAGTGACCTTTAAAAAATGAGCTTTGTAGCATGTTAATTTTATTTACAAAAAAAACCCAAAAAGAACATCATTTCATGTCTCTATGGTGCACTAGAGTTTGCAAAACTCTATACACTTGCCCTTCTATACGCTTAAGAAATTCTATTCAGATGTGCATGGGCTAATAAAAAAAGACAGGCAGTTGCAGCTGTAGGAGAATCAGACAGTGAATGAATGCCTTCTAATCACTGAATGTGCCCTCTCTCTTCTACACAATTGCACTTTCAAGACTACACAGGACTGAAATAAAAGATATAGGTAACTTAAACTGGGGAGGAATTAGCAAGTGATAAATGCCTGCTGGCTTGCCTTAAATGATGGAATAAACCCCTGTACTTCAGATTTCAATTCTTTTACTGACAGTGGCTTAAATCTATTTCTAGTTCCCAAAGGTGGTCCCTACTTTCAACCCTCTGTTATGCAAATACATGTTATGAGTCACACTGCAACCAGCACAAAAGGTAGATTATGATTGGTCTCTCCCCAGAGTCCTGCAATTTTCCACCCACCCGCATCCCAGGGTAAGGTAAAGATGTACAAAGGCATCTGTGACCATAATGGCTTGACCCTCGAACATACACAGAAGTTCTCTCCATCCTCCTTACTCTACTCTTTCCTGTTCACATCACATCTGCCACCTTCTAATAATTTCCTTATTTATTATACACATTGTTTCTTCTCTGTCTCCATCCACCATCCACCACCTCAGCCACCAACTATGTCCACCTTATTAGAACAAGGCTCTGGGCCAGATTGTTTTTTATCAATAGCACTTAGATCGTACTTCCACAGAGTAGACACCACATACATAATTAATGAATGAATGAATGAATAAATAAATCCCTGAATAAAGAAAAGAGGCAACAATTTATTATTACGAGGCAAGAGAACATGTATAATTTCACAATCACAGACTTGAAAATGGTAGAATTGCATCTCCTTTAAAAATAGTCTATAAACCAAACATGCTTCAAAGCATGGTAATGAGGGCTTTCTAGTCTGACTGAGTTGGATTTCAGTCCCTTGTTTATGTGACATCTCTAAATCTTCATTTTCTGTCCTGTAAAATGGGGTTATAATGATTATACTTGTGCTGTAGGACTATTATGATAATTAAATGAGCAGCAGTATGTAAAGCATTTACTGCAGTAATAATACTCTCTCAATAGATAACCAATTATTATTATGCTATTGACATCTGAAATTTTAATTTATAGCTATATGGGTATGCATATATCTATTATTATATAGATAAATATACTTATCCAACAAAAACCCACTATTGTGTAATTCTAATTGTGAAAATTCAATTTTCATGGCTTAGAAAAAGAAGACCATGTTATGGAGGGCAGAATAAAGAGATATTGGGCCTCCCCGGTGGCGCAGCGGTTGAGCACTGGGTTGCGAAGCTGCCCGCAGCCTCTGTGACGCCGGTTCGATCCCCTGCTGCTCCCCGGCCACCGGAGGAGGGTCCCACGTGGCGCGTAGACCCCTCCTGCCGCCCGCTGCTCCCCTCAGCAGTGTACTTCGGTCCTTCTGCCTGCTCTGCTCCCCGCTCTGGCTCTGGTGAATTCTCTCACCCTCCCGCGCTTCTGACTGTACCCAGTGCTTGTATAAACAAAACAAACAAAAACAAAACAAATAAATAAAAAAAAACATGCCTCTATTAAAAAAAAAAAAGAATAAAGAGATATTACTGGTACTTTCTTTAATAACCTCCCCCAGACAAACCCAGTTTAAAAATGCATTTTCTGGCTTGGATAACTGTTTTCTCTCTAAGCAGTGCCTATGTTTTTATTTTCCACTCACATGTCCATTTGTAGATGTGTCTCTACAGGTATCCTGCTGTGTTCCACCCAGTCAGTTGCAAAGAGACATCAGGAGCTAGTTGACTACAATTCTTGATGTGTCTATAATTTAAGTTAGGAGGGAAAAATCAGAAGAACAAACATTCCTGGCATAAACTCACAGAACATGATCCTTTGCAAAGAGTTCCTTCTTTTGTTTTTAACATTCCCTCTTAAACGTGCTTATTTTATTGAACGAAACAGAAATAATCTTGCATGTGGATTAATACATGTCCTTTCAAACTGGCTGATGTTGGAAGTTCAGAACTGCTCTCTAAATGGTATCTGGGTCTCTCTAGATATTACCTCCAATACTATTCCCTTATAGGTAGCCAAGATAGGGGAACATTCACATCTCTACTTTGGGTTTCAAACTAATTTTACACTTTTCTCAGAGGAAAAAAGAAGGCATAGTGCAAAAGTTATTTTAAATGTGGAGTTATGCAAACCCTTCACCACGTCCCCAGAGGTGCCAGCCTTGTGCTTATAAGTAGTTTCCGAGCATTTTAGGTGTTCAGCATAATTTGCACTCTTATGGCAGTATCTCACCATGGTCCAACTTTTTTTTTATTATCGTTTTATTTTTTTCCTTACCTTGAAACTAGTTTGCCATTTCAAAGCAAAAAGTCACTACTGACAAGATAAGACAGTGTTTTATCCTCCACTGAAATTGTCACCTTCTTTCAAACGTTCATTCATTGGGGTGCGGTGGGGGAGTCCTTCAGTTGCTCCTGCATATAGGCAAGCAGATTCCAAGGGAAAGAAAAGTTGAGTCTGCAGTTCCTGGAGAACTTTTTTTTTAATTTAAATTTTATTTTTATATTCCCCATACAATTACAAACCTCTTATTTTTACCCCAAGCCCTCCTTTCCCCGCCCCCCGCCCCCCACAGAGTGTCTCTTGTTCATAGTTGTTTGTTGATTTTGATATTTTCTTTCTTATAGTTATTCTTTTTCCTGGTCCCTTATTTAAGTTTTCTAGATTCCTGCTATGAGTGAGACCATCCGGTATTTTTCTTTTTCTTTCTGGCTTATTTTGCTGCGCATGATCCCTTCCAGCGCCATCCATGTTGCTGCAAATGGCATGTGTTTATCTTTTTTGAATGCTGAGTAATATCCCATGGTGTATATCTACCACATCTTCTTGATCCAGTCATCCATTTTTGGGCATTTGGGTTGTTTCCAAAGCTTAGCTATTGTAAACAGTGCTGCTGTAAACATAGGGATGCAGGTGCTCTTTGGAATTGATGTTTCTGTGTCCTTTGGGTAAATCCCTAGGAGTGGAATTGCTGGATCCTATGGAAGCTCTATGTTTAGTAGGTCAAGGAATCTCCACACAGCTCTCCATAGTGGCTGGACAGTTTGCACTCCCACCAGCAGTGCAGGAGAGTTCCTTTTTCTTCCTGGAGAACTTCTAAAAACTTCACCTTGGAGCGTTAGTGTTTCTTCCTGACGTTAATCGGGCGGCAAATTAACTTTCCCTTCCCTTTTCTGTTTTGTTTCTGCTTCCAGTGACAGTGGTGCTGTTTGCAGCTCTGAGGAGGCAGCGAAAAAAAGAGCCTTTGATCATTTCCAAAGAGGATATTAGAGACAACATTGTCAGTTACAACGACGAGGGGGGCGGAGAGGAAGACACGCAGGCCTTTGACATCGGCACCCTGCGGAACCCCGAAGCCATAGAGGACAACAAATTACGCAGGGACATTGTGCCCGAAGCCCTTTTTCTACCCCGACGGACTCCTGCAGCTCGAGATAACACTGATGTCCGAGATTTCATCACCCAAAGGTTGAAGGAAAATGACACGGACCCCACCGCTCCGCCCTACGACTCCTTGGCCACCTACGCCTATGAGGGCGCCGGCTCGGTGGCCGATTCCCTGAGCTCGCTGGAGTCGGTGACCACGGATGGAGACCAAGACTATGATTACCTTAGTGACTGGGGCCCTCGCTTCAAAAAGCTGGCAGATATGTACGGAGGGGTGGACAGTGACAAGGACTCCTAATAGGTTGCCTTTTTCATTTTCCAGTATGGCACTGAAATATGTGAAGTGGCTATTTCCTTCTATTTATCACACCTCCGTGAAGGGTTCTCTGTTCTGCCCGTTCCAAAAGTCAATGGCTGCAGCCCTTGTGGATCCAATGTTAGAGACCTTTTTTCTAGTACACTTTTATGAGCTCCCAAGAGGCAAATGTTTATTTTTTAGTGCATCCAGGTAATGATGTCAGTCTAACAGCCACCTGTGCTGAGGAGGGCCGGGAGTCACACTTCCTCTGGTTGTCTTAGGACAAGTTTGGAAACAGCTCAGTTGCCCCAGCCTTGTCTTTTTACTACACCCCATTGATGCAGGTCAACTACTGCCCTGTCTGTCCATTTCACATGCCAATGGCAGGAGGGGCTGTGGCTAATGATAAAAATAGCATTTTAGTAAAAGAGATGAGGGAGGAGCAACTGTGAAGCTGCTCCTGCCATATCCGCTCACAAGGAGATAATGAACTATATATGGGTGTGTATTTCTGCCTGGAAGAATTTAAAATGACATTTGCCCATCCTGTTTGTTCTTCAAGAACTTTTTCTTGCACCAACTCCTCAGAACATCAAATCAACCAATGGTCCTTTTTAGGAACAGAAGTAAATTAAATGGAAAGATTCAAAAACAACAACCAAAACAAAAAGATTAATAAGACCTCATTCCTTGCCACTAATTCATAGTTTGTTATATAATAGACATGTGAAGGCTTGTACCATATAAAGGGGAAGAGAAAATAGTTAATAATATTGACAAAGGATATATTTAGCATATGTTAAAGGTTGGGCCACCAATGTAAATGTGGATCACTTGAAATTTCAACCATCTGTAGACTAATTACAAATAAGTCTAACTGCTTAAAAGTTCTTGAAGCAACTTTTCTGAGACAAATTTTAACTCCTCGTCTGTGGTTGTTGTCAGTATTATTCTAATATACTTGAAAGTAGCAATATAAAGTACAACAATTCATATTCTTCAGATACTTCCTACACAATTAAGTTGCTAGTAAAAGTAGATTAAATAAAACTCAAATCCTGTTCTCAAAACTTAATAGGGAGGTTGAGAGTCAGCCACTTGAATCTGATACCCTGTCCTTCACATCCAAAAACATCTACCTATTTATATAATGTGGTCGACATGGATGACCACTGAGATCACGGTGAAAACCTATATATTACATGTTTGGAAGATGCTTACATGGAAAAACTTGGATTCTCTTCAATCAGAGTGTGTAAGATTGTAATTAAAATGATAGTTGACTTTCAAAGGCATTAACATTTTTCACTGTTTTTAAGTTTGTTTCCATGGCAACCCTGCCATCCTTATCTTTGAACTAATGATAAAGTAATGGTCTCAAAAGACGACAGAAAAGTAATGTACGATCCATCCAATTTATTATTTCTCTAATTACATAATTAGTATCATAGTTATTATCCAGAGGACCCAACTGAACTGAACTAATCCTTTTGGCAGGTTCAAATCATTTATTTCCTATGGCTATTCTAATGATTTTTATCATTAGACTCTTATATTGTGCAGTCATCAGAAATTTCCAAAGTACTGTAAAAAAGATCCTTGTTTTGAAAACTTAAAAAAAGCAGGCTCTGTGTATATATATATAATATGTACTTAAGAATATGCTGACTTCAGTGATTAGTCTTAGGGATTTATTTTCAATTACTGTTCATTTTCTACAGATAATCTTAGCATCATATCCATTTGGAGATACTGTCCTATCGGCACATATTTTTCTATTTGGAAACATATTGTTGTTTATTTAAGTATTAGGTAGGTGTATTACCCAAGAAGTAAAGACAGTACCTTTAAAATAAGAGGATGATCTTTTGGTTACCCAATTAGAGTGAAAAATTTTTGCAATCATATTATTCCATGTGTTTCCTGAATGGTTTTCTATTTTGTAATGAACTTCCCTGTATACTAACAAGTATTTCATGCTTGGACTATTTCCTGCTTTTAGGGTTTTGTTTTGCTAGTTTTTGACACACATACATGTGCACACACAGAGGAATGCAAACACAACAGCAGGAGAGGGTTTCACTGTAATGAACTAGATAGGTATCATAGTCACGAGTAAGTATTGAGAAAAGATAGCTTAGTGAATAAGAACTAGTTCTTTATAGCAATAGAACAACACCTTAACCATGATTTACTGTAAAATTTAAAAGCTCTCTCCTTAGGTTTCATATAATATAACAAATTAAATCAAGGAAGATAGTTCTGTAAAAAGAAAGGTATCATCAGAAGTCTTCCTTTTGAACTTCGGGTATTAATTGCCATGTCTGAGGGTTGACACTAACAACTTCCAAAGTTTAAGAGGAAGGTTTACTCTTGCCTCCTTGTAAAAGTGAATATTTGAGTGAAATATTCTGTAGTGGAATATTTGAGATGTAATTGGCAGGGTTTTTTTCCCCACCTGAAGATGATATAGATACAGCATACTAATAACAGGTTATTGTAACTAAATATTGAAATAACTGTTTAATCTCTTGCCACAAAACCTGATAATGAAGTGAATCTCTAAGAAATTGGATCCTTTGATACTGGAGCTAAATATTCATAATAGGTCCTATATCATGTTGAAGTAATATTTTTCTATAATTAAGACTCCTTAACATGGCGGAAACAGTAAAAACTACAGCTCCACCATTCTGCCCAGATTTCACATCTTCCCCACAAGCTCTCAGGTCAAGAACATAAATTATTACTGACAAAAAAAAAAGAGTTTTCATCTCAATTTTCACATTGTCTCTGTCCTGATATTAGTATTAGTGACGAGAAAGGTGGACGGAGGTTGGGAAGAGGTAAATTTTGGTATTTGCATCAGTCAAAGAAATAGAAATTCATTAAATACAAGCAGATTGCCTTTGTGGGTTGCTTCAAGGACTTTGAGGCCTTTCTGACATTTTAACCCTTTATTTAAAGGGGAGAATTTCTCTAAACTACTAAGTTGTTCCCTAGAATAAGCTGAAAATTTAAAAACATTAAGCTATTATGCCTAAGTTTAAAACCCCTTCTTCCCTTCATGGCCACTTTCTGCAGAAAGGCCTGGAAAAACATGTTGCCAAATAGAAAAACTAAATCTAATGGGGAAGATGCTAAGATGGGTTCATAGAACTAGAAGAGAGGGGAGCTGGGCACAGGAAATATATATTTTTACAGAGCTTTCTTAACTTTATGGTTTAGGTGCATGAAGGGAGGTTTAGATATAAACTGACTCCATTTTCAGATGGAACAAAACCTGCTGATTCAACTTTAATTCAGTACAAAAATTTGTGGCTTGGTGTTCATCTTTAGCTCCCAAAAAGTTGTACAAAAATTTCCTGAGTTGAATTACTTAGAAGTACCCCAATTTTACGGATCCAAATTAACTTCAGGATGTTCCCATTCCTTTCATTCTTAGGAGCATACATTTTAGATGTCCTATTTGCTAAGCAATACCTCGCATCTAATGCTTTCCCTTGAAATGGGTATTTCACTGAAGATGATATAGAAACTATGATTGTGAGTTCCTTGATTCTATATACTTGAGGACCATAAAATATATACCCATAAAAGAAAAACAGAGTTGATTCTGGGGCAAAAACTCAATAATTAAATCAAGTACTGCTATATAAATTCTCCCTGAGAACCAAACCACCAAATCAGTTACTTTATTCTAGTCACTAGTTCTAAAGTGGCGTAATTACATTGAAAGCACACTCTCAAACATTATTTTGAAAGATGTCCTCTGAAAAAGAGCATTTTAGAGTCATTTCATTTTTTGTTTTTATCTAGATGAAATCTTTTTTTTTTTTTAAACTGTGATAGGGGGTTGAAAATCCAACCAGACCACTGTGTTTACATGAACACCAAAGCCCAGGTTTCTTTATCAGCTTATAAGAGTGGAAAGATTAAGATCAACATATGGATCTTCTGGAAGATGAACTGTTTCCTAAGGTCTCACAAGCAGCTTTCTCCTAGAGAATACAGCACTACGGTATGGCCCCCTTAAAAGTTCAGTGACTATTACAGTCACAGCTTTTTAATCTCCACTTGACATCTTTATGGAATAACTTTCTAAAGGGATAACTCTACAAAAAAATATCAGGCCCCAGCCATAGTGCAGAGTGAAACCCTCTTAGAAAGGAAATACACTGGCTCACACTTGTTAAAAGTTAATGAAGAAATAGTTCATTTTTAAAGCCAGAAGTTTATGGTCTCTGCATCGTCAATTTAATTTAAGCATTGCTGAGACAATCTTTAATCTACTCCCCATTTTGTAATACTTATTTATGATGCATTTTCATTTTTTAATTTTGGGGGAACGTAAGCCCAACAGAGCCAGCCGATGGAAGTGCAGAAAGGAGGTCAAATGGAAACAAAGACTATTACCCGCTGTATTTCAGACAAGACCAAGGCACTTAGCTGGAGAGCCAGTGGGTTATTAGATTAATTTCTAAAGAGCTTTTACAAGTTGCTTAATTCCTTTTTAAAAAAAAAAAACCATGGATCACAAACTCAAATTTCTTCTCAAATGGGTTATTTTCACAAATGAGGCATGGACCCAGCATTGTGCTGAAAGCATTCCACTAGAATGAGATCTGGGTCTTTCATATAAGACTACGCTATTTATGTAAATAAATCTAGAGGCACCTTTGGTAAGCTTTTAGTTTTCTCTGATCTATTAGTTTAGTGTTCATTAAGGACTCCAATATACAGAATTAGTAGGCAATCGAGGGGATGCTGCGTAGCAAAAGTAAAAGTGCTTGAAAGAAACATAGGAACACTTCAAAACCACTGCACTGTTTTGGTTGTGATCATTTTCATGGCTTTGAAAGTAAACTGCATAAGAATAGACTTTTAATAAATGCTACATGTGTCTCCAGTAATATCAGGCTAAGGCAATTTGGCATTCTCCCACTGTGATGCGTGATTTTAAGCCTAGAAAATAAAAGCTTTTTGGTATTGATTGTTTTTAATTAAAAATATGCCCCAGTATAAATTGATGCAACCCTTGAAGATTTACTGGCTGGCGTGCTCAGTGCCAGTTTTTCTCAGTGTCTTTTTCCTGTATCTTTGGCAACGAGAACCCCTGATGGAAAAAAATCACTGCTCACCTCTCCTCAACATTTCAAGTTAGGGAGCTTTTCATAACTTCACAGTTTACATGCGAAAAGTTTTCTGTACTAGAAGAATGATGTTGAGAAGATTACCTTTTAGCTCAGAGTGGCCGGGCCTTTTGTTGTAGTTAAATGGCAAATACACACTCCTTGAAATGGCTTCTTTTATTTTCCTTTGTTTTCTTAGACATATAAATTTGAAAAAGAATGCAATTTAAAAAAGTGATTTCTCACAAAGAGTAAATATGCCTTTTGCAAATCAATTTTTGTAACAAGTTATTTATATGATATTACTTAATAAACTGGTTTTTTTTCTAACTTGTTTTTTTTCAATTCTCTTAAACTATTGTTTGTCATCAGAGATGTAAAAAATATATACATACTGATAAACACTTTCTCTTTCTGAATCTGCTGTTTTAACCTCTCAGATAGCTAACTAAAACCGACTTGTTATATGATAATTAGCTTATAAACAATAGTTTCTTCCAGCCAGAAATACATATCATTGGCAACTGCCCCACAGACTCCTTACTGCTGGGACATCCAGAACGCTACTGTTATTTATGGAATTGCTGTGGTTAAGAAGAAAGCTGTTCATCCTCATGGTAATTGCTTCGGATAAGAAACGACAGTTCTATATTTTTGCCCACACCACGTCTCCATCCTTTATTTCACTACCATAAAACACTATCTATGGATCTCAATTTTAAAAAGAAAAAGGAAAAACAAGTCAGACCAGAGAGAACAAAGAACAAAATCCACCTGACAATATGATACTCTGAATAAATAAAATGTTTTTAGCATATTCATAGGTACAAGATTTTGCAAGCTGCTTTTTGTTTAAGCTGCCTCTTATTTCTACAGAGGCCATTTCACAATTTTTTAACCAGGAGAATTCACAGCACCACAAAGGAGATTTCATTTGTTCGCTATGTACTAGGCACTCCACCGTGTGCTGTGAAATACCTGACAGTAAGCCAGGTTGATATATTCCCTCCTCTCTCCAGAGGCTCATGGTCCCGGAAGCACTGCCATAAGCTCAACTACAGAGCTCACCAGAAGGGGCAGGGAAATGCTTCCTTTAGGTACGGAAAAATCGTACCTAAAGGAGGTTAAGGAATGAGTAGGACTAAGATAAACAGATTAGAGATTAGAAATGAAAAAGAACAGCAGGGGGAAGAAAGAAAAGAAAGGATGTAAAGCAATGCATCTGACCAGTCGAGGACTCCCTGAAGGGGGCTAGATTTGGAAAAATCACAGGGCCCCAGAGCAAGGGATCACCAACAATACAGCAGCTTATTTGTATTGTTGCTTTGTTTTTACTTGTATTTTTGTCATTTAAAGTTAACTTAGAAACTCACTAAGGGGAGTGATGAAATACACTTTAAAAAAAAAAAAAAAATATATATATATATATATATATTCTAGGTGTTCTTTGTGTACGATGTTTCTTTCTCCTCTTGGTGTAATTCCCATAAAATATCCACCACCAAGTCACCTGGAACCTCTCATCGTCTTAGTCCTTCCCGATCCTCCATCCCAGCTTTACCTCAGATTTATAGTTTGTCTTCTAGTTTTGAACCAACTGTCTCAATTCCTTATTCCTCTAAACCTCCAATATTTTTCTTTTTTCTATTTTTTTGGAGCATATTTCCAACTCCATCCATGTTGCTGCAAATGGTATGAGGTTAGCATTTTTAATTGCTAAATAGTATTCCATTGTGTATATATACCACATCTTCTTGACCCAGTCATCTCTTTTGGGCATTTAGGTTGTTTTTATCTTAGCTGTTGTAAATTGCTGCAATAAACACATGCCCATTTTTTGAATTAATTATTTTCTTTGTAGATTCCTAGGAGTCTCATGCAGGTCATACAGCAGATTTTTAGTAGTCAGTCCTTATCATTAGTGTTTGGTGCAAAATGTTCTCCCAGCAGTATGGGGTTTCTCTTTTTTTGTTATTGTCTTTTGCTGTGCAAAAGCTCTTTAATTTGATGTAGTCCCAGCTGTTTATCTTTGCCTTCACTATCACTGCTTTGGGTGATGTGTCTGTAAAGATGTCTTTGATGTGCAAATCACGTAGTGTTTCGCCTATATTTCCTTCTATATATTTTATGGTTTCAGGTCTTATGTCTAGTTCTTTAATCCATTTTGAGTTGATTTTTGTGTATGGTGTGAGGTGGTGGTCAAGCTTCATTCTTTTGCATGTAGCGACCCAGTTTTCCCAGCACCATTTATTGAACAAACTTTCTTTGCTCCAATGCATATTCTTTGCTCCTTTGTCAAAGATTAGTTGACCATAAATCTGTGGGTTTATTTCTGGATTTTCTATTCGATTCCATTGGTCTGTATGTCTGTTCTTGTTCCAATACCATGCAGTTTTGATGATTATGGTTGTAGTATAGTTTGAGTCTGAGGAGCCTCCATTCCCTTCTTTTTTTTTCAGGAGAGCTTTGGCTATTCGGGGTTTTTGGTGATTCCATATGAATTGTATGAAATACACTTTTTGAGAGATATGTACATTGCACAGTATTATGCAAGGTGTACTAGAGCAAGTCCCTACCCACCACACACCTAGCTCTGGCAAGTAGAGTATGTAGGATCTAGGAAAATTCCCTGGCCTAACAGTAACACAGGCAGGAAGCTCAGGGTGCCGTGTCACCCCATTCAGGAAGCTGATCTGCAAACATTAGATGAAATAAGGCCTTTGCCTTCACCATAACAAACTACCTCCCCTCATCTTTGTTAGTATGTGTTGGAGTCTATAATTCTAGCTGCTACAACACACAAAATCAAAAATCTCCATAAGGTTTATGTCTCACTTCTTATCAAGTTCAAGGTGGTTGTGGGTCTTTGTCTCTCTTGTAGCTGTGCCATCTGGAGTCTTTAACACAGCAGAGGAGAGCAGGCTGGACGATCCTCTGAGATGTTTCTAAGGGCAGAGCACAGAAGGAGCTGATACCACTTTGGTTCATGTCTCATTGGTCAGAACTCAGTCATATCACTACAAACTAGACAGAGGCTGGAAGAGGTAGACAATAACCTGTGTATCTGGTGAGTGCACTCATATATCTGCTACATTTAGGTTCACTCAATATCTTCTCCAATTTTCCAACTTGGGCACCATATTCAGTCATATCTCATAATGACTGAAGGTGTTACCAGAAGAGCAGGTAAAAAGTAAATAACAAAGTCAAGGCCTCCCTGGTGGCGAAGGGGTTAAGACGCAACCTATGAAGCAATCCGCAGCCACTGCAGCACGAGTTTGATTCCCGGCCAGCCAGGGAGAAACGCACATGGCGGGACAGACCTCTCCTGTCTCACCCGCTGCTCTCCTCAGCAGTGTACTTTGGTCCATCTGCCTGTTCTGTTCCCTGCTCTGTCTCTGGTGAATCCTCTCACCCCCCGCATCTCTGGCCTATACCCCAATTCTTATATAAAAATAAATAAATCTTTAAAAAAAACAAAGTCAACCTTCAAGTTGAAAACCCTGTAAGTGGTACTTGTCTACCATTCCTGACTCCAATGTCCACAATAAGGTTTGCTAATCAACTGACTCATGGATCTCCTAAATGTAGAATTTGCAACAGGAGTATCCCAATAGCGATCAACAAAAGAATAACACTGACCTATTTGCTGCCCTGAACCTTGGAGATTAAGTTCTCTCATGAAAGATTTATTTTCTTTCATTCTAGGTGTTGTTGATAACTCACCACTGACATTTGAGAAAACCATTCTGGTCTTGAAATTGTCAAAAATTTGGAATGATTAAAGAAGCTAAAAAGCCAGGCTGCTGTTACAGTTAGCTCTCATCTGTATTTCATAAATCTGACCCAACAAGAAAGGACCTCTTGGTTGGAACAATTCAGATATAGGGTTCTGCTCAATGATACCTCTCCCCTCAGTGGTACTCCTAAACCTTTCATTCAGTCTACAAAATTCATTGGAGAAGCTACAGTGGGCCAGGCACATATCAAGGTGATAGGGGTCCAGGATAAACAAGACTGACACACACCTTGCTCTGTACAGACCCTGCCCTCAAGGACTGCCATGATGTAATGCCCGCTATTAATCTGTTCACCTGACTAAACACTTTGTACTGAATGACATCCAGAATCTTTAGAGTGCTTTTCTAGATCTCATATTCCTGAATACAATAGTTTTCCAAATACGATCTACATAGATATGACTCCTTAAAAGAAGCAAATTGTCTTCTGACTATAATACACTTATCCCTTTTAAAAATATCTCCCTTGACCTATTACATCATCTTTATTGCATCCTGAGTCATTTAGTCTCAAAAACCTAATTTTTTGCAGAAAATATGTCTTGTCTGTGCATTGGTAAGAAGATGTCTCCTTAAGATGTATACTTATAGATGTCTCCTTATAGTAAAGATAGGTTTTATTAAAGCTTTTAACTTTGCTTAGCTGCCTGCTAATAATGCCTTACTTTTATACAGCACTTTAGAAATAACTAGCATATATGACTTAATACAACTCTCAGAAAAGCCCTGTGCATAGGACGTATCATTCCCATTTCACAACAAAGTGAGGGCATTTGTCCTCAGGGCTCTATCACAGGAATTAGAATTAAATTTCACTGCTTTTAATTCAGGCTCTGCAGCCCTGCCACTGAATCCCACATTTTCTCCTTTGTATGCAGGGTCCAATGCCATCCACTTGAGAGAAATATTTATTGGGAGAAAAAAGGATTCTTTTTTCCTTTATACAAATTCAGATGAAGTTGGATTCTGCCAATGGCTTCAGCCTCAAAGATATCCCTCTCCATAAGATCAATCTAAATGCTCTGTGGAGAGAAAAAAAGCCTGAAAGCAAAATTCTGCCTATTAGCCCCATTGTCTAACTGAATCCTATTACAAACTGGAACAGCATTCCCAAGGAAAAGCAACAATGCTTCACCCAACATTGCAAAAGCAGTAGTTGTTTTATGTAACAATAATCTTGACCATATTGCTAGTTTTTTCCAATTATGTTTATTAAGATAGTTTACATCACTAGATTTGTTTTAAGGGTTGTAAGTTCAAACCTCCACAAGCATATGTTTTCACACCCTGCCTACCACAAAACCCCACTAATCCTCCACCATGATCCATTGGGCTCCCTCATTCTCCCCACCCCACCAAACCACCACCCTGCCCCGCCCCCATTTCTAGTTGCCTCAGCTTTGCAGTCAGATGTCAAGGGCTTATTATTGTTTTGGTGTTGTCTGACCCTTTGTTTTATTTCTCTATACGCCTCATATAAGTGAAACCATCCAATACTGGTCTTTCTCCCTTTGGCTTATTTTGCTTAGTATATCCTCACCAGTTCCATCCATGTTGTCACAAATGGCTAGAGTTCATCTTTTTTATTTTATAGCTGAGTGATATTCTATTGTACATACACAAACATTTTTTAAATCTACTCTGTCCTTGGTTACTTAAGTTGTTTGCATAACTTGGCTATGTAAATAGGGCTGCAAGGACACAAGAGTGCATAGACCATATCTTCATTTCAAATGTCCAACTCCGATCAGGTCTGCAGAGTAGCAATGGCTTATAAGAGAAGGAGAAGGAAAGGGATCAGGACATCCTGGTGCAATTCAGATTCCATGAGCAAAGGAGGGGCTGTGGAGGAAGAAAGAGACGTGCTCTGGCCAGCAGCACCCACTGAATCCAGGTATCCACTCAACAACGTGATGTCTGTGTTATCCTGGGAACACAACTGTGCAGGAATGTGGTAGCTGCGGGGCAAAGCAGTAGCAACAAATCTTTGTTCATAAACCAAAAGTCATGTATATTCCATATTTTTCTATAACTGAACTTAATTTCTGTTTTGAATCCTGAGTCCTCTGAGAATTAGAAACACAACTTTAGTCATTTAAGATTTCTTTCCACACCCTTTCACTGATATCATAGCTAAGCCCTAAGGGACTAAGGTAACGTCAAGTGTAGGGGCTAAAAAAAGAATGAAGCATAATCAAAGCTTAAAGTTAACCTGCTAAGGGAACTAGAAGAAGTACAGGGATTCCAGAAAACATATGATAATTCTCTTAACCCTCCCTGTCTGTGCTCCCAGCCATTACAAAATGAAGAGGCTGAAGTTTATTGATCAGAATTTTTTTATGTTATTGTCATTATTCCTCATTCTCAGAAGGTCAGGATCAAAAGCTTAAGACAGACACCTGATTCTTTCCTGACTTATGGCTTCGGAAGATTCAGAAAGAGCTGAAAGTTACCTCAGAATGTCACTATTTCAAATTTAATGATAATTTATAAGTGTTTTCTTATGCTTTGCTATTTCAAGCATTAGAAAATTATTCCTTTACAGTTTTAAAGTATACTAAATAATATAGTAAGGTCAAGCCAGTCTTGGAGGATTTCTGAGCATCTCTTACAGGGTAAATACTTTATTACCTACTTTATGTATAAATTACATTTTCCTTTATCATTAATTGAGACCATGACAAAGTGTTTTCTGATTTATGAGTACATTTATATAAAAATCTAGCAAAGCTAAAAAATGAAATTACAATTGAATGCATATTTAATAAATAATTGATATTTAGAACACTAAACATGTTAAACCCAGACTGTTTGGTTCCCTTTAAATCCAAAGAAACATATCTATCTAAAAATAATTTGACAAAATGGATACTGAGATTCTAATAGCTCTCAAGTGAGGAAAGGTTGAGGGACAAATTGATTGTGGTGTTAAAATGTGAGCACAGCCTCTGCAGGAGCTCTAGAACCTAGAAAGCCACTGGTATGTTTTTCTGAAATGCAAATAAATGTCCAATTCCACTTGGGAAATAATCAGGACTATTTTTATATACCCCACAGGACTTAGGCATCCCTAAGATTGGAGACCAAACTTACATTTTAAGTACATATTAAAGTGTACCCACATGTCAAAGATGTGACTCAAGTTGCAGTTGGTGAGTTTATGTAACATTGTTATACACGTCATTAGACTTTTATTGACTTTATTTTTGCAATTTTCCTTCTGTACGTGGAAGCTCTGCCTCTCTCTCTCTCTCTTTTTTTTTTTTTTTTTTAATTTAAGCCTTTTCAGGCTGCAGCTCATCAGAGAGTGAATAGGTACTGTGTGTGTATTGCCTTATGGAGAACATGAGGCTGGGATTTAGAAATCTGACTTTAGAGCAAGCTCCCCCGTGACTTTTAGCCACCCCAGAGTCTGAGATAGAAGCAAAGCTGTTGAGGTAGCAAAGACAAGGCTTCAGGAGCTGCTCAAGGTAAATTAGTCTGACCAGCAAAGAAAGGTCTGGGAAGGAAGAGGAAGAGTGTTAAGTCCTAATATTTCTGCCCACACCTTCCAACTTTGCTTTATCTACTGGAGGCAAAGCATGTATTTTTCTAGCAAATGATAAGGGGATTAAAACAGGTGCCCTTCCTAGAAAAGTTTTTAGTTTCCAATTAAAATACAAGGGATAGTTCATACACATTTGTTTAAAACCTCAGGTGAAAGTCTCCACTCTCCCACCTTTTTTTCAGAACTTTTCTGGCTACTTTCCCTGCATGTGTCAGTCAATAAGTAAATCGTTGAACTCCCTTTAGAGTTGATTCACCAGTCTTCCGAAGCACTTGCTTCTTTTCTCTCTTTTTCAAGTCAGCTGTTATTCTATGCGGCTCATCTGGGGAGCGCCTCCTCTCCCAGGGCCCAATCAGAGTTCCACTTCAATTAGCTTAATTGGAAGAAGACACAACCAAATTTCCAATTAAAGTTCTAAACGAGCTATTAGAATAGACTATTTTTGTCTTTTCAGAGAAAGCTCTCCTAATAGTCATTTTTTTTAAGGTAAAAAAATCCTTAAAGGAGAAAAGGTGAGCACAATCAGATCAATTATCCCTGTTAATCATTCCAATAGTAAACTCAGTTCTTTTCAGGTAAGTAATTTGAAAGTCACTTATTCATCCTTTTATTAATTTTTATTAATTTTTATTTTCACTAAATTAATTCAATTAACATATACATTGTCTAAAATGTCAAACAGTTCTCTAAATCTAAAGCTTATAGCAAAAACTTTCTACTCCACCTCCATTCCCTCACCCAGAGGTAATCCCTGGGGAACTGTTCCAGCTAGTACTTTTAGTGTTTACTTCCATATTCTAAATAATGCTTATATTAGGTAGTGTGATTAAAAAATTGCCATTTTGGGCCTCCCCTGGTGGTGCAGCGGTTCAGCGCTGGGCTGCGAGGCTGCCCGCAGCCTCTGCAGCACTGGTTCATTCCCCAGCCACCGGCGAGGGTCCCACCAAAAAAAAAATTGCCATTTCATAGGTAGGTGAAATGGGTGAGGGGGATCAAAAAGGTAGAAAATACCAGTTATGAAATGCATAAATGAGAGGGATGTAATGTACACCATGGCAACTATAGGTAATAATACTGAAATTGCTGTTTTTATATCTTTTATAAAAATTTTTGAGAGCACACTGGTTTTAAACAATGTTTATGATTCACAGGTATAAGATCACACTTTCTCAGATGTAGGTCACCACACCACACCTACCACCAAGGCTCCACAATCCTCTACCATCGTCCATCCAACCCGCTCCACACTTTGCTCTCCACTCCTTCCCCCACCTCCTCCGGTAGCCTCAATTTATACTGCATATTTAAAAGTTGCTAAGGGAGTAAATCTTACGTTTCCCATCATAAGAAAAAATTGATGTTGTTGATGGCTAAATTGTGGGCCACACCTACATGTTTCTGGACTGAGCACTTAGGCGGCTTATAGCACTATCACAGAGAAGGTGCAGGAAAAAGAAAAGATTTAAAAGAAAATGTGTTCAACCTGAGATCTTAGGTTTGAAATATTCGTGTGACATTCAAGAGAAGTCAAGCCATAGTTGAATATATGGATCTGACGCTTAAGATAAGCCATTTAGAACATAGAAGTAGCTTTGAAAGTCAATATACAGGTAGCAACTTCAAGCACAGGAACTGATGAGAGTGTGAGGAAAGAGGAACAAGACATGAGCTGTCTGAACACCGGTATTTTAGGAGTAGGCAAAAAATTCTTTCCATATTCATATTATTCATATTTTTTATTAATTTTTTTCATTTTTTACATCATTGTTCATTTTTAAACAATATTTGCTTCCCCCCCACCCCCTATGTAGTCCCCAAAGAGTTTACTCCCCCAATGCACCTGTGCACCATCACCTCAGTCCCCTGTGCTCCTCCCTCCCTCCCTCTGATCCCTCTCCCTCCTCCTCCCCTGCAGGAATAAACAAAATTAATGTGTAGACTAAGAAAGATTTCTCAAGAACAAGGAAGAAAGCAGAAGTGAGATAGGATAGGCCAACAGCATCAAATGTTACCTACAACTCAAATAAGGACTTACAAGTGTTCCACTCACAGAGAGAGAATGAGGTAGTGGGTGAACTTGGCTACAACGATTTCAGTGGAAGATGGGACATTAGCAGCGATGTAAAGAGGAAGGATGTTGTCAGTGAACTTTGCCAGCTCTCCCCAGAAGTTAACATGTGGTGAAAGTCTGATGGAGAGGATCTGTGGTACTGATAAGATGACAGGTTTTGAGTCAGGAGGTACTGGTATTCCCATGGAGAAACAGGCATAGTTACCTCTGTGGAGAAGAGCAGAAAAAGATGACTGAAAAAAAAGAATTTCCAGGCAGCATTAAATACCAAGTTGATGTTTCTATTAGGCTTCAGTTTACAAAAAGTATTGCAAATTCAGTGTTCAAGACCATGAAATTGTGGTAGTTTCAATCTCTAGCTTGATGTGATTAAAATTGGAATAATCTCCTTTTCTCCAAAAGTCTAAAAGATGTAATGTGACATAAAGCCATTCAACTTTTCATCAAATTTCTAAGCTATGCAGAACATTTACGGATATAGTAAGACTGTACTTCACAGAACAATTCAGTGATATATTATCAGTGTTAAAATTTCAGTCTCAACAATCTAGTTCAGTTTGGAGGATCATGTTCCTTTATAGAAAAAGGCTTTAAATGATTCTCTTAAACAACCTATTTGATTATTCTTGCTCTCTTAGTTTCAAAGTCCATTCATTAAATTCTTAAAGAATGAGCAAGTTCTTACACATGCAAAATCCCCCCCCCCCTTCTAATCATGGGCCCCCAATGTTAAATTGTATTTAAATCTGTATGATTATCTCAAAAAAAAATCACAGGTGACCTCCATAATCAGGTTATGTTTATGTCATTTCACCTGGAAGACTTTGAAAGTATTATGCTCAGATTATCTGCCCTCAATCAAATTTGGTCTAGGTCTATTTCCTCCCTAAAAGTAGGTTATTGGTTGAGTAATATATAGTATATCTTTGAGAGAATGAGGTTGTTAAAGGTATGCCTGATCGTGTTACTACTGTACACAAAGAATAACATTCAACATCATTTACAATAATCAGTCCTCTTTATTTCTGCTTTGATGGTAAAGCCCTCTAGGAAATGATAGACACAGTCAATAGGATATGTTATACATCCTTGTTATCCATCAACGTACCTGCTGCTCTATGTACACAGTAGCTTCCCAATGAATATTTATTGATATCTAAATGAGTGAGCTTTTTATCTTTGAAGGAAAGTTACTCTTTAATAACTATTCTTCAGGAATGTCAAGTTGTGTCTAAAAGTAATCAAGTGTGACAACTGTAATATTTTCCTAAGCTATGTACCTTAAGCTTTACATACTTTATATTCATTTCTCAATAGCAAGTGAATAAAGCATCTTTTTCATTTTTCATGTTTGCAATGATCCCACATAGTCAAGATTCTCTGTGTTGAGCTGCTACACACATTGACCTTGGAATGTTCAGGTACAATATTGCATGGTGACTTAGGAAAAGACATTAGGGTTTTTTGTATGGGGAATATAAAAATAAAATTTAAATTAAAAAAAGACATTAGGGTTTTTGGGTTTTTTTCGGTGGGTTTTTTTTTGTTTTTGTTTTTTGTTTTTTGTTTTTTTTTTTTAGTATTGAATATTGCAGTTGGCTTCTTAATCAGGAAAAAAGAGGTTGACTACTCGGGGGACAAATGTTATACACACATTGCAAGGCAATGCTCATGTCTTCTGAATACATGATAATGGAGAAGAGAACAGTGCTGAGCAAGCAGAATGTTCAGGATATTAGTGTGGGCCAGGAAAAAATACTGCACAATCAAAACTGGTTGGAAAAAAATCTCAACCGGCATCTATGAAATGTTTTTAAATTTCAATTGTTGGGTAATTTTTTAAAGATTTCTGAATAAGACTACTCTCTGAATTTTTGGCTCCTTATAAAAAAGAAAATGTTTTCTGAATTTGGCAACTTATGCCATTGCTTTATTGTTGAAGTGAGCATGTGATGAGGAGTGATCATTGAGGTAAAGCACAAGAAAGTTCGAGCCAGGAAAAAAAAGTGTTTCAATCACAGGTTTAGATGTGACTTTTCAAATAAGGTCTAATGACATGTTACATTTTACATGGAAAAAGGATTTTGTTCTAAGTTTACTCTCCATCTCCCCAATATCCAAGACATTTAACATGGGCCTTGCTTTCAGCACAAGTACTGGTACTTCCTTCTCTTTGCTTCTGCATCTAGTTATTCAATTGCTTCTCAAAAATGGGCCTCCCCAGTGGCGCAGCAGTTGAGCACTGGGTTGCGAGGCTGCCCGCGGCCTCTGCGGTGCCAGTTCGATCCCCGGCTGCTCCCCGGCCACCGGAGGAGGGTCCCACATGGCGCGCAGACCTCTCCTGCTGCCCGCTGCTCCCCTCAGCAGTGTACTTCGGTCCTTCTGCCTGCTCTGCTCCCTGCTCTGGCTCTGGTGAATTCTCTCACCCTCCTGCGCTTCTGACTGAACCCAGTGCATGTATAAACAAACAAATAAATAAATAAAACATGCCTCTATAAAAAAAAATGCATTAAAAAAAAAAAGCATTTGTTGTGCACCTGCTCAATGTGAAGTTCTTTGCAAAGCCATGTCAGAAATAAAAAGAGAGGGGCCTCCCCGGTGGTGCAAGGGGTTAAGAGGCGGCACTATGAGGCTACCTGCAGCCTCTGCAACACGAGCTGGATCCCTGGCCGGGGAGGTGACCCACATGGTGTAGCGGACCTCTCCTGTCTCGCCCACTGCTCCCCTCAGCAGTGTATTTCAGTCAATCTGCCTGTTCTGTTCCCCACTCTGTCTCTGATGAATCCTCTCATGTGGGGACCTGTACCTCTGGCCTGTACCCCAGTTCTTGTATGCATAGATAAATTAAAAAAAAATCTTAAAAAAAAAAGAAATAAAAAGAGAGTGGAATTCTTATTTGTCCTGGAAGAGTTGTTAAATATTTTCATGTTGGGAAAGGCTCTGTATTGGTCATTAAAAATGATTGTATATACTTTCACCAGCAAAAAGAAAAAATTACTTGATTCTTCTATTTTAGCCATAATAGATGCTTTTCTAACTAGTCTGTTATGTGATTTGAGTTAATAAACTCCTAAGGAGAAATAAATAGGCTACCTTTCCATTTGCAAAATTGGATATATCAAATCATGCTTCTAAGTATTTCAAGATCCTTTAAAGCCCATTACTTTGCATACAGGAAAGAAAAAAGGTTTACGTAAGTATGCTTTCCCATTGTAGTAAAATTTTAATATTGTTCTAATAGTCCAAATTACTAGTATCCTTTCTTAAACATGAATTACTAATTCTCATGGAATTAGAGGGGAAAACATTATAAAATTTAAATATTTACATATGCTTATTGATGTGCAACAGTACTTAATGTAGCTAAATATGTATAATCATTTGATATGTTCTTTTGATTAATTTCATGGCTTTATATTTTTATGTTTCTATATTTTAGATAATTTTCAAATTTGGAGGAAAACAATATACTTTATGTGTATTGACAAAGCACTGCTTTTATCATAACTTTCAAAGCATTAACTTCATTAAATAAAATTACTTTACCAAAAAATCTGCATCAAATATTTTCACAAGTATCAAAATAAATTGCAATTAAGGAGCATGTTTAATTATCAGAATTCATTGTCCTTTGAGGATGCATGTTATATTTGTAAAACCAAGCATGATAATAATATATCTAAAAAATACAGGCTAAAAATCCCTGCATTTTCATGATGAGTCTAACATTACTGAATTGTCTATTGTAAGACACTCACCAGAAATAGGGAAAAAAAAAAAATGACAGTTTACATGTTTATAAATGGTTGGAGAAACAAACCTGGAAACAAATGAATATAGGAGTGGGTTCTTGCAGACACATGGGAGATCTTCAGCAAGCCTTGGTACTTGTGGACTGACAATGCAGCAAGATTCGGGTCCCCAGGCCATACCTGGTTAGACAAGTGCTTCAGCAGCTCAAGCTTTGTGCCTGTTACTTAAAGAGTTTTGTTTTGTTACTTTTAGTTCTGTTACTTACCCAAACAAGATGTTGTGAAGAAAACTATAAAAGCAGTCTGTTATGCAAAAAATAGGCAGTAGCGAGACCCTACTCAAAATACTGATATGCTGGGAGAAGGAAAAGAGGGCATCCTCCCACCCAACCTCCCTGTGAGTAGCTGCTCTGACCGAGGATTAGAAGTGGGCCAAAGCTGATGCTGTCCAAAACACCACAGGTGGAATTAAGCCCTCTGCTACCAGCTACCAAAGAAGCAATAACGCCATAAGTTGGCCGGCCCTTTCCCCAGAGTTCCCTCAGTAAGAAGGAAGCCAGTGAGGTCTTCATATCAAACCTCTCTCCATCTCACCCTCAGCCACCTGCACAGGTGGAAGTTCTATGATGCTCATGGGAGGATGGTACATTGCAACCATCAAGGTGGGTCTGAGTTTCTAGCTCTTCTGTATTCACCCAACCACTTCCCAAAGAAAGAACAGGCCCCACATGAACTATCTCACATTTCAGCAGCAGGGACTAAACCAGAACCCCCATATCTCTGCCTTAGATGTTTACATTTCTCTCTGGACATAAATCAGCATCATATGAAGTCTTGTCCTCCCCCGTCATCAGGTATTCATCGGTTCAGTCTATAAACCACAAGATGTCCACAAACTCAAATTTCAGTGAAAGATACAGAGGAGAGAATAGAACGTCTTCCCTAGACCATGATGAGTTCCCTGTGAAAATGGCCCCATTTCTGCTCCTAAGCAGGTCATAAGCCAAGACAATGAAAGAGTCGTACTTTTGATCCTGGACAAGATGCTGTCTGAGGCACGTCTGCATGACCGCATCTCTCTGTTGGGAAAGTGGTCTGAAAGTGATGAAAGCACCTAAGGTCCGTGACTAGGAATGAAGATGACTCTGAGAGAGAAGTACCCGTAACTAACTGATAAAATACTTTCTAGAAGGGACAGGGAAGTCAGCAGGTCTCCAAAGCAGAACCTGAAGCCAGGATATGGATCCAGAAGAAGAGGGAGGAAGAGAGAGGAAGAGTCCAATAAGTCAAGACAAAAATGGTTTCTTCTGGGCTCTTGTTGTAATGATTTTGAAAATGTCGAATGTCATATTCATATTTGAACTAGGGAATGCCCTTTCACATGTCACAACTTCACAAAGATACAATGAAGATGGAACCAGATTAAAAATAACTACTAGAGGTATTAGAGATTCTCCAGCAACATTCTCCCATTTGATGACTGATTGCTGAAGCAAAGAACACACCATGTGGCAAGCAGAAAGTGTATCACTGGGAAGCACAATCACTTAGAAGCAACTATGCTGCTGCATCACTGGAAGCAACTGAGCATAGGCCAACTCGCCCTCGCTGTGGGATGGCAGCTGGGCTGGATAACTTGATGGGTGAAGAAACAGGACAATCATAATCATGGTTGTGCCAGGAGGAGAAATCCAACCAAAAACTAGATATAGATATTTTACCCTGGAAGCAGCAGAGATACAACGTAGTGATAAAAAGAATTTCTGAAAGACACCAGAACAGATGGTTTGGAAGCAGAGTTCAAATAAGTAATAGAATAACCAATATTTATTGAGAACTTACTGTGTTTCAGGCACTAAATATACATCACCGTGACTTGTCCTCCTTTCACCATCCTTGGGGACGGTGCCCTTGTTGGTGACTCATCAACACTCTGCCCTCTCAATTCCTTACCAGTTCACTTCTCTGAGCTCCAGGCTCCACTTCAGCTGCTTCCTCCACACCTTCACTTCAGTAGCTCATAAACATCTCAAATACAGCCTGTCCGAATTATCAATATCTCCCAGCACAGTTTCTAGTCTCCTTCTAGATATCCTATGTCAGGGAAACCATCCACCATCCTTTCTGTCTGTAAACACTCAAAACCTAGGAATCAGCTGCAATATCTTCTTTTCCCTCATCCTATAGTGAATCCCATCTGCGTTGCAGGTCCTCAGCATGTGATGTGGTATTAGCAGTGCCAGTAAGGGTAACAGGAAGGTCCTACAGAGTGTGCCACGTACTATTGGAAAACTGTGTTTGCACTGACTGTCATGTGTGAAACTACTTTTGGCATCCTCCTAGAATCAGGGCCAAATGTCTGTATTTTTATAAGCTATTCTTCATAGTTTAGGGTTGTGTCTGTCTCCTGGTTTCATTAAAGATGGACTCTTTTATTAGAATGTGTGTTCCTTTCAGTTGATATTAGAAAGTGGCACTTAATACAATTATCTCCAATCTGCCATCTTCAAGCAGAAGCTCTTAATATTTTTAAATCCAGGAATATCTTTAAATAAGTGAAAGAATGATGAACTCCTTTCTTTCTCCAGTGAAGCTTAAATAGGAAGACATTATAAGAAGGATTTAAGAGTTAATGCAGAGCTCATAAAGGACATTTAAACCTCAAAATCAGTTCCTAAGGGTGGTTATTAAATCTTATTCCAATTTTGTACTTGTGACTAAATATTTTTTTATTTGGAAAGTGGCTTTGCATTAGAAATGAAAGTACAGTTATAATGTAAAATCTTGGTAAATACATTTCAAGTTGGTTTTTATACTGTGAAATTTCAGCTGAGTATAAATAGTTCTTTATCTCTATACAAATAGTCTACGTATGTGTCTGTGTTTTTCTATGTGCATATGTATGTGTATATATGAATATAGATATTAAAAAGACACATGCCAAATTACATGAATCTAGTTTCAATTCATTTTGCCCAGGATAGAGTTGGAATTTTGAGTTTTCACTTTCTCTTTGAGTCCATGTGCTACTTACTCTATTAAGTAAAATAACCAGTTCATGGTTATTTATTATTTTCATGATGATGATGATAGTGACAACGGTAGTGATCATGCATTTATAGTGAGCTAAGCACTATGTTTGTAAATAATTTCATTTATTTTTCAAACAACCACTTGAAGAAGGAGCACTATGACCTCACCTTCCCAGCTAAGAGAGCTGAGTTTTAGGGGTTAAGTCACATGCCTCACATCCACTAACCAAAAAGTCACACTAATTTACCAAGTCACACTGTTTCAAAATGCATGCTCTCCTCTTTTTTTTTTTTTAACAATTTATTTATTTATACAAGAACTGGGGCACAGGCCAGAGGTGCGGGAGGGTGAGAGAATTCACGAGAGACAGAGCGGGGAGCAGAACAGGCAGAAGACACTGCTGAGGGGAGCAGCGGGTGAGACAGGAGAGGTCTGCTGCGCCATGTGGGCATCTCCCTGGCTGGCCAGGATTTGAACCCGCACTGCAGAGGCTGCAGACAGCTTCACAGTGCAACGCTCAACCTGCTGCGCCGGGGAGGCCCCCATGCTCTCCTCTTACTCCAATACTGCCTGCTTAGTCATCTCAACATCACAGTACTCATTTTATAAGGAAACAAAATATTTCAATTCAATGATTTGTTCAAGGTCACGCGATTCCAAAGTCAGAAATTCTTAACATCCGCCAATGTTCTTTTCATCACAGCTCTTAAAAATTAGAAAATTAAGGTTTATGTGTCCCAGAATTCAGAGCAAGTAAGAGGCTTTGAATCAATATTTTAAATTCACTTATAATTCTTTTCTCTGTACTGAGACAGAGGTGGGGAAATGCTCTCAAAAACGTTCTTTTCCAATGGTGGTCAAATTTTCCAAAGCATAAATAGCATCTCCAAAACAAATGACCAATTGGCTATTAAGAAAAAGGAAAAAGAAATTGCTCTGAACAATGGTGCATATAAACTGAATTTCTGAGGTATAATAAATATGATTCTCCTTGAAGATGATTTTTTTTTAGTTCAGGTTGCTGAAGTAAGTCAAAAAGAGACAAATATAGCTCTTTACTTGCTGGATGCTGAGGTTAATCATAAAATGCATCTTTGTTTTAAATCCCATGAATGTCAGAATAGGAAACCATCCAGTGTCAGTTCATAAATGGACCATTCTGTCTGAAAATTTGACAAATGACTCCCTAGTTTTGCCTTTCTCTGCCGAGGAGGAAAGCAGTGGCCTTCTGGGGCAGCTCCTTAAAGATATTTCTATGAGATTTATGTGGCACAAAGTGCTCTCAAAGACAAATCAATATATTCAAGTTGAGCCTTCTAATATAATCACACTGATCAAGAAAAGTGCTTCATCGCCACAGAGCTGTCATTTTCCCCCTTTCATTGTATGGAGATGCCGAAAGGTTTTATGTCCCTGAAACAAAGCTCTGAATGACTGTCTTTAGACAGTGTGAGATATTAACAGAATTCCATGAAAATCAGTCATTACTCTGCATACCTAATTTTCCTGAGGAATCCTATTCAAAGTGGGAGAAATAGCAAAACTACTGAGGAACATAGGTCTGGATTATAATTAGTTGAGAACTTAATACACACAACAACGACTTGGATATTTTAGCAAATCATAGACTCCATAGCGTTGTGGAAATGATGTCACCGCTGCACACTGTTTCTGAGGGAAGACACGCAGACATCTTGATTACCAGGGGTCAGCTTCTCACCAGGCCTTCCTTGTCTTGTAAAGGTTCCTCTCCTGGGCGATGGGCAGCCTAGCAACCCTCCTCCTGCTGGGACCCAGCCTTTGAGGGATGCTGCCCTGCTTTTTCTTTAATGAAACTACACAGTGCCCTGATTAAAATTTTTCTAGCTCTTGGCATTGAAACACATAGAGTGAGGGGAAAGAAATCTGTCTCAAAATTGTGTATGAGACAAAGTAAAAATCAAAATCAACAAGCGACTATAAACCAGAGACACACTATTGCGGGGGGGGGGGAGGAAGGATTAGGGTCAAAATAAGGGGGTGTGCAATTGTATGGGGAATAAAAAAAAATGTGTATGAGAACATGTTTAAGACAAAAGATAAATTAAGGGCTTTGGTGGAGTTTTAGATCAATAAACACCATTCTCTGTTATGGAGTGAATAGGAACATCCCAAAATTCCTGTTAGACCTTTAAAGAGGTAAATTGAAATT